GGGCCCACAGCCAAGGTTCTAGAAGAACACAGCCGGAGTCCCTAAGCCACCCCAGTGCAATGCTGGCTGGGATACAGTGTTGAAGAGAAACTTCCGTGGAACTGAAAACCCCCAGCTTCCAGGAGGGTTAAAGGAGAGAAGGCCAGATAGAGGACCTAGCGTGGGACGAGCATGGAGGAAGTTCCCGCTACCAACCCACATGCTGTGACCTGACTTCACTGCCCAGAGCTACTGTGGTTTTCCCATCTGTTCTGCAACCGCTGTGGCTGGAGGCTGGACTTTAATCCTACTCTACAGATGGAGCAACTGAGGCCCAGGCCCTGCCACTGCATGGGAGGCCTCGAGAATCACCAGCTGGTCAGGGAACCAGGGTTCAGCCTAGTTCCACTGGCCCTTCCTCCCTCCCCACTTCTTCCCTCCCTCCCTCCTTCCCTCCTCCCTCCCTTTCTCTCCTTTGCTTCCCCCACCCTCCCTCTTTCCCTCTGTCCCTCCTTTCTCCCTCTCTCCCTCCTTCCCTCCTTTCCTCCCTCACTCCTTCCCCCCTCCCTCTTTTCCTTCCTCTCTTCCTCCCTCCCTCCTCTCCTCCTTCCCTCTGTCTTTCTTCGTCCCTCCTTTCCTCCCTCCGTCCGTCTTTTTCTCCTTTCTTCCTTCCTCCCACTTCTCCTCCATCCCTCCCTCCATCCTTTCCTTCCTTCTATTGAGTGAAATAGGGATTGTGAGCAAAAAACAGGCATGAGAAAAATCTGTGAGGAGAGACTGCTGAGGGCCGAGTTGTCTGGAAGCCTCTAGTAGAAATGTCTGGTCCCAAGGGAGGGGAGCAGCCAGGCCAGGAGCTCCCAGGATCTGTCTTCCATACCAGGAAGGTGTCAGGGTTGAGGCTCAGAACGGTTGTCCCCAGGCCTGCAGAGAGGCCAGGCCTGAGCTGAGGGCCCCCAGATGCTGGGGTGGAAGCCAGGACAATGGAATTCCCTGTATTTGGGCGTCATTCAAAGAGGTTCACGTTTTCAGTGCAGAGGGAGCTCACTGGCCTGGAAGAGAGGGCTACAGGGCGGGGCTTCCTGGTGCCTGCTGAGATGAGGCTGGGTGATTGCAAAGCCAGTCTGGTGCCTGGCTGACCACAGACACCTGGCTGATGGATCTTGGCTGCAGGGAAGCCACAGGAGCACCACTTTCAATCTGGGTCTGAGACAACCAACCCGAGGCTCTGGAGGCTGGGAGAGATGCCAGCCAGCATGGTCCCCAAGAGGACCATGAAGCAAGCCACGCAGACCTGTGCGAGGATGTAAGTGTCTCTCATTTATCCAGGCTCACCTGGCCAGCAGCCTCGCCTTGTCCAGAAAGCCACTGGGAGCCAGGAGACCAGTGGGGATGGCCTCTGAGTGGCCAGGAATTCTGTCCTGAGTCCACTCACTCAGGACAGGAAGTCGAGTGTGTCATCCAGCACTTCCCTGCTTGCCACATAAGACTAACAAGACTGGGTGTCTGGGTCCCAAGCCTAGTGTAGATTGAAAATAGTGCCCTGAGGCCACCCATGGCTGCTCATGCCTGTAATCCCAGCACATTGGGAGGCCCAGGTTGGAGGATTGCTTGAGCCAGGAGTTCCAGACCAGCCTGGGAAACATAGGGGGACCCTCATCTCTACAATACATTAAAAAGTTTAGCGGCTGGGTATGGTGGCTCATGCCTGTAATCCCAGCACTTTGGGAGGCTGAGGCAGGTAGATCAGGAGGTCGGCAGTTCAAGACCAGCCTGACCAACATGGTGAAACCCTGTCTCTACTAAACATACAAAAATTAGCCAGATGTGGTGGCAGGCGCCTGTAATCCCAGCTACTCAGGAGGCTGAGGCAGGAGAATTGCTTGAACCTGGGAAGCAGAGGTTGCAGTGAGCTGAGATTGTGCCACTGCACTCCAGCCTGGGCAACAGAGCAAGACTCAAAAAACAAAAAAAAAAAAAAAAAAGGGAGGGGGGTGGGGCTGGGCGCAGTGGCTCACATCTGCAATCCCAGCACTTTGGAAGACCAAGATGGGTGGATCATGAGACCAGGAATTCAAGACCAGCCTGGCCAATGTGGTGAAACCCTGTCTCTACTAAAGATACAAAAAATTAGCCAGGCATGGTGGCACGCACCTGTAATCCCAGCTACTCGGGAGGCTGAGGCAGGAGAATCGCTTGAACCTGGGAGGCAGAAGTTGCAGTGAGCTGAGATCTCGACACTGCACTCCAGCCTAGGTGACAGGATGAGACTCCATCTCAAAAAAGGAAAAAAAAAAAAAAATTAGCCTGTTCACGCAGCTCCACCAGCAGCCAGGTTTTGTTGCAGTGGGCACTGTGCTGAGAGTCATCAGACCTGGGACGTAGGTCGGGCTTGGCCCAACTGCTATGGCCTCTTTGGAAACCCATGTCATCAACAGGGGGTGGTGAACTTAGCATCCACTGAGTCCAGTTTCCTATTTTACAGATGGGGAAACTGAGGCTCTGAGAAGGGAGGAGACTCATCCCAAACCACAACCCTGACTCATTGAGAAAACAGCCATAAAAAAAGAATGAGGCCAAGCAAGGTGGCTCACACCTGTAATCAAAGCACTTTGGGAGGCCAAGGTGAGAGGATCACAAGGTCAAGAGATCAAGACCATCATGGCCAACTTGATGAAATCCTGTCTCTAATAAAAATATAAAAATTAGCTAGGCATGGTGGTGGGCGCCTGTACTCCTAGCTACTCAGGAGGCTGAGGCAGGAGAATCACTTGAACCCAGGAGGTGGAGGTAGCGGTGAGCCAAGATCATGCCATTGCACTCTAGCTACAGAGCAAAACTCCACCTCAAAAAAAAAAAAAAAAAAAAAGAATGAAATCATGGCCTTTGCAGGAACACGGACGGAGCTGGAGGACATCATCCTAAGTGAACTCACTCACATACTGCATATTCTCACTTATAAGCAGGAGCTAAGCAATGAGTAAACATGGACAGAAAGAGGTAAACAGCAGTACCGGGAACTCCAAGGTGGGGGAGGGGCCAGGTGCGGTGGCTCACGCCTGTAATCCCAGCACTTTGGGAGGCCAAGTAGGGCGGATCACTTAGGTCAGGAGTTCCAGACCAGCCTGGCCAACGTAGTGAAAGTCGGTCTCTACTAAAAAGACAAAAGTTAGCGGGGTGTGGTGGCACATGCCTGTAATACCAGCTACTTGAGAGGCTGAGGCAGGAGGATCACCTGAGCCCAGGAGGTCAAGGCTGTAGTGAGCCGTGATTGCACCACTGCGATATAGCCTGAGCGACAGAGCAAGACCCTGTCTCAAAAACATAAAAACAAAAACGAGACTGGGCACAGTGGCTCACGCCTGTAATCCTAGCACTTTGGGAAGCCAAGGCTGGTGGGTTGCCTGAACTCAGGAGTTCAAGACCAGCCTGGGCAATACAGTGAAACCCTGTTTCTACTGAAATACAAAAGATTAGCTGGGCATGGTGGCATGTGCCTGTAATCCCAGCTACTCAGGAGGCTGAGGCAGGAAAATTGCTAGAACTCGGGGTGCAGAGGTTGCAGTGACCCGAGATTGAACCATTGCACTCCAGCCTGGGCGACAGAGAGTGAGACTCCATCTAAAAAAAAAAAAAGAAACAAAAAACAAAATGGGGAAAGCTTTCTTCGTGTTCTGATGCTTTCAAGGGTTGTTCTTTGTTTGCTAGTTAAAAACACACACCTGCTCTGTGGGTGCCGGCGGCTGGCTGGGTCTGAGCAGGAATATTCATCACAACCTGGTACTATCGTCTCTTCCAGGCAGCCTCCAGTGCCCCAATTCCAGGAGCAGTGGCAGGGGGTATCTGGCTGCCCCATAGGCTACAATTGGCATTGGTGACAAAGGCTGGCTGAGTCACCATTGGAAGGCAGGTGAGCTTGGTGAGTAAGATGTCTTTCACAGACCTTCAGAAACAGGCCATGGTGGGCATGAAGGGAGGCGCTGGGGTGGAGTGGGTGGTGGAGTGGGGGACAGAGTCTCACCTCCCTCTCAGGAGCCCCACCCACTGCTCTCACAAGACCCTCAGGCTGTCACAAGCTTGCTGCCAAGGAGACATTGCTCCCCTTCCAAGAGCAGAGACTTAGAGAGTGCCAGGCAACTCTCTAAGCCTTGGTTTCCCCAGCTGTGAAAGGAGGAGGGTCATGCTTCCCTCCACGGGTGGGTGCTGGGATTATGCTGGGAAAAGGGTTGTCTAAGGCCAGGTCCCACATAACCTACGTGCTCTGCCCCATGTCCCCATGTGGGGCCCTGTCCCCACCTCATGACCACTGTGTCTCTGTCTGGCCTGGGCAAGGGAGTGTCTGCACCCTCTAGGTTTGAAAGCCTGGATCTGACAAACCTCACTCCCCACACATGGGCGAAGGCCGTCTCAGCTTCCTTGGCTGGTTTTCTGGTCAGGGTGGGCTCAGGGAGCCCAGGGAGTCTGGGGTCTCCCTCACTAGGCTGGGCAGGCTGCTGGGTCTAGGGAGTCTCTGGAGATCCAGTCCTCCCCTTGACATGTCATTTCCAAGGCAGGGGGCCCAGGACGAAATGAGGGACCCCCAGCACCTCCGCCGAGGCTTTGTCCAGAACACAACACCCTGGAGACCCAGCTCAGCGCAGGGGAAAGAGTGCTTTGTGTGAAGGTGGGTTATAGGCAGCCCCTCTGTGGCCCCTGCCCCTCGCCCAGCTCCCATACTAGGACAAGCAGGGAAGGTTCTGGAGGCCACTCTAGGGGTGGCCTGCTTGCCCAGAGGGGCTCATCTCATAGGAAAGGTCTGGAGGCAGGAGATGGGGCCTTTTTTGGATCATGTGAAGACCTCTGGGGGCCACCTGGGGAAGCCCCTTAGAGGTGTCATCACCCTGCCCCGGCACAGCCCCCTCCTCCATGCACAGAAGCCAGTCGACATTGGGGAAGGACTCTCCAGCTCCACACCTGCAGTCCCAGCTCCAGAGGCTGAGAAAAGGAAGTGCCTCTTTCCAGGTTCCCTGGAGCACCGGGTGGCAAGGCCATGCCCTTTGCCCTGAACTTCTCTGCACCACCCCGGTTCATCTCCGCCAAGGAATCTGTCTGGCCTCCTGCCCCCCTGCCAGCCCCTCCCTGGCCTCCCAGGACCTCAGGACCAAGTCCAGAGTCCTCCCAGGACTGGCGAAGCCTCCACATCGCTCCGAGGTGGGTGGTGCAGGGGTGCAGGGCTCTGGAGAGGAGCAGGCAGAGGCTTCTGGAAGCGAGGTGGTGATGGTGATATTATGAGGGCGGGGCTGGGCCTGGGATAGACGCTTGGGGTCTGTGTCTGGGATGAACAGCCTCTTGCTCTTACAGAGCCCTGCTGGCTGGCATAGGCCTCCCTGGCCACTGGCTCACAGCCACCCGGAGACAGGGCCAGCACGCCCTTGGGTAGCGATGGTGAACCTGAGGCTCGCCACAGGTCGCCCAAGATGGGGAGGGGGTGGTGGCTGGAATCCTGGGGCTGCATTATTCCACCTGCAGGCCTGGGACTCACCCACCCCACTCGCCCTCACCCCCACCCCCACCCCCACCCCCTGCCACCTTTTCCTTCCTAGAGTTCCCAGCTGGGCTGTCAGCCCAGCAGAGAGGATGTGGGAATCAGGAGGCCCTACGGGGCTCAACTTCAGTGGGCCTAGAGCGGAGACCCAGCTCTGGGGGCCCGGCCAAGCCTCCGAGGACCACGGAACGCCCTCTCTGCTCCACAGGGTCCCCGTGAGTACAGAGAAGCTGGGGCAGCAGAAGCAGGAGGAGCTGGGGCAGGAGGGGCTGGGATAGGAGGGGCTGGGGCAGGAGGAGCTGAGGTAGGAGGAGCTGGGGCAGGAGGAGCTGGGGTAGGAGGGGCTGGGGTAGGAGGGGCTGGGGCAAGAGGAGCTGGGGTAGGAGGAGCTGGGGTAGGAGGGGCAGGAGGAGCTGGGGTAGGAGGGGCTGGGGCAGGAGGAGCTGGGGCAGGAGGAGCAGGAGGAGGTGGGACAGGAGGAGTTGGTGTAGGAGGAGGAGCTGGGGCAGGAGGAGCTGAGGCAGGAGGAGCTGGAGCAGGAGGAGCTGGGGTAGGAGGAGCTGGGGTAGGAGGAGCTGGCCTGGACATGGCTTCGTTCTGGAGGAGGGGGTGGAATGTGCTCCTCTCTGCTCAGTTTCCCAGCCTGGCCAGGCCTCCTTCCCCACTGCCTCTCTTGGCCAACATCCCAGCTCTCCCCTTCACAGGGCCCTGGGCTCTCTCCTCCCTGGGTCAGCACACACATGGTTCCTCATCAGCCCATGAGCCATTGTCCCCTCTTGCTCCCAGCCTCGCCTTCTCAAATGCAAATCCAATCCTGTTCCCACAGCTTTAGGACCAGGTCCCTCCAGCCTGGCCTCTGTGTCCCTCCTGAGCCCTGTCTCCCCTGCCATGCCTGATCCACTGTGTCTGGCCACCCTGGGGCCTTTCCCATCCTGGAGGTGGGGGCCTTGCTCCCTTTTCCTCCGGAAGGAGGTTGACAGTTCCCTGGGCCTGGAAGACACTCCCTTCCCCACCTGCTCAGCTGCAGCCCTGACTCCCTTTTCTGCGAGACCAGAACTGCTCTCCAACATCTAGTTCCTGGGTCTAAATCACCTGCGTCCCCACCACCCTGGAGGGTAGACCTTGGCTGTGCTCTGCCCACCTTGGGTTCTCTGCATCTAAGCCAGTGGATATTTGGTGAGTAAACGAATTTAGGATTGGTGAAGTGGCTCCCAGCACTTTGGGAGGTCGAGGTGGGAGGATCACTTGAGGCCAGGAATCTCAGACCAGCCTGGGCAACACAGCAAAAGAAAAAAAAAAATTAAGAATTAGCTAGCAGTGGGAACACACACCTGTAGTTCCAGCTACTTGGGAGGCTGAGGTGGGAGAAACGCTTGAGACAGTGAGCTATGATTGCACTACTGCACTCCAGCCTGGGCAACAGAGCAAGACCTTGCCTACAAAAAATTAAAAAAGAAAAAAATTATTTTCTGGCCCCAAAGATCTAGTCTTCACAGAGGTTAGCCTAGTTGTAAACAGACAAAATAAACCCTGATAGTGCATCCAAAGAGCCCTTGAGTACAATAAATACTAAAACACACAGGCAGGCTGGGTGCCGTGAGATTACAGTGGGGAGGAGGAGCTGATCGTGAAAAGCTTCTTAGCAGAGGGTCATCTGGGCTGGCTCCATAGGAAGGACATTCCTGGGAGCAGAAACAGCACAGGGGAGGGGCCAGCTGGAGGTGGGGGAGCATTTTCCAAAAAGACCGGTGGTGAGGGGCGTGTGGCTGGAGGGGAGGCCAGATGGCAGGCACGGGGTGCCTCGAGGAGGCACTGATGGGACCCAGGGTACCACGTGGGATCTGAGGGTGTCTGTGGAGCAAGGGGCCGAGGAACAGCTTACACTGGCTCTGGACTAAGAGTTCCCTAGTAGCAGTGGGGAGGAGAGACAAAAGCCCCCAGAAGGGGTGGGGCTGGAGGGAGATGACACTACTCTATACTTCTCTGTTTTTCTTTTTATAGTGTGTTATATATCTTTTTTAAGAAACAAAATATCATTGTAAAATAGAAATGGCCAGTGGGAAAGAGTCAGGTGAGTAGGTGAAGGGCAGATCAGAGAGGGAGCATCCCTCTAGGGCAGAAAAGGGAGGAGTCTCAGGCTTAGGAGGTGGGAGGATGAGGCAGGGGCTAAGACTGGGAGGCTGCTGAGCTTGGCATTGAAGGGGGGTCCTGTGGGGTGAGTCTGAGGGGTGAAGAAAGCCCTGGTTTCATTCTGGAACAGTTCAAATAGAAGGTGGGTCCCCCAAAATTTATTCTTTATGGCCTGGTGGTTCATGCCTGTCATCCTAGCACTTTAGGAGGCTGCAGTGGGAGAATTGCTTGAGCCCAGGCTGAGGCTGCAGTGAGCTATGATCGTACCACTGCACTCCAGCCTGGGTGACAGAACAAGACCCTATCTCTACAAAAAATAAAAATAAGGCTAGGAGCAGTGGCTCACACCTGTAATCCCAGCACTTTCAGAGGCTGAGGCAGGTGAATCAGTTGAGGCCAGGAGTTCTAGACCAGGCTGGCCAACAAGGCAAAACTCTATCTCTACTAAACATACAAAAACTAGCCAGGTGTGGTGGTGTGTGCCTGTAGTCCCAGTTACTCAGGTGGCTGAGGCATGAGACTCGATTAAGCCCGGGAGGCGGAGGTGGCAGTAAGCCAAGATCGCTCCACTGCACTCCAGCCTGGGTGACAGAGCGAGACTCCATCTCAAAAATAAAAGAAAAAAAATAAAACCATTAACTAGGTATGGTAGCACACACCTGTAGTCCCAGCTATTCAGGAGGCTGAGGCAGGAGGATCACTTGAACCCAAAAGTTCAAGGCTGCAGTGAGCCGTGATTGTGCCGCTGCACTCCAGCCTGGGGTGCAAGATCTTATCTGTAAAAAAAAAAATACAGAAATAAAAATTTAAAAGTATCCTTCAGAAAAGAGGGTGCTGCCTTCTTAAGTCCTTAGAAAGTATCTCACAGCATGAGGCTCTCAATTAGTTTATTTTGACAGCCACACACTATTCGGGAACTGAGGGAGGAGTTTGAAAGCTGGGAGCAATATGTATGGAGGTCGCCTGGCAGAATCCACTGAAAAGATGTCAGAAATAAATTTAACTCAGATTAGTCATTTTTCCAGGAGTAGAACCTCACATTTGCAAGCTTTGGCTGTCTTTGTAAATCAGTCTTTTAAATGCAACTTTAAAAATACAGCCAGTGGGGCCAGGTGCAGTAGCTCAAACCTGTAATCCCAGCACTTTGGGAGGCAGAGGTGGGCGGATCAGCTGAGATCGGAGTTCAAGACCAGTCTGACCAACGTGAAGAAACCCCATCTCTCCTAAAAATACAAAATTAGCTGGGTGTGGTGGTGCATGCCTATAATCCCAGCTTCTCAGGAAAGCTGAGGCAGGAGAATCGCTTGAACCTGGGAGGGGGAGGTTGCGGTGAGCCGAGATCACGCCATTGCACTCTGGCCTGGGCAATAAGAGTGAAATTCCGTCTCAAAAAAAAAAAAAAGTACAGCCAGCGGTTACATTTTGAAATGTGATCATAAAACCACTACCACCTGGACCACCAGCCTCAGGTCCAGCACACCAGCACTCGTGGCTTGGGAAGAAATGCTCCAATCATGGCATGTCCTGTTCAGAATTTTTTTCTTTTTTCTTTTTTTAGACAAGAGTCTTGCTCTGCCACCCAGGCTGGAGTATAGTGGCATGATTTCAGCTTGCTGCAACCTGTATTTTCCCGGATTCACGCAATCTGCCCACTTCAGCCTCCCGAGTAGCTGGGACTACAGGTGCACACCACCATGCCCAGCTCATTTTTGTAGAGAGGGGGTTTCACTATGTTGTCCAGGCTGGTCTTAAACTCCTGGGTTCAAGCTGGATCTCCCCGCCTCGGCCTCCCAAAGTGCTGGGATTACAGGAGGGAGCGGCTGCGCTCAGCATGAGCAGATTTCTAAATCATCACATGAATTGCAAACAGTTTAGCTGAAAGTGGAGGATGTCAGGCATGGAAAACTGTGTGAGAGGATCCAGAACACGGGGACTAAGCTGCCGGTGCAGCCAAGTCTCAGGAGTGCCATGAGAGGCATCCTCTTAGATCAGTGTTTTCTTTTAGATATGACTTTAAATATTCGTGATGTGTGACCAGATTAACATATTAATTATTAACAAGTTGGCATTTGACACTTTGGTCCACACTTATCAAAAGCTCATACTTTTGGCCGGGCTCGGTGGCTCTTGCCTGTAATCCCAGACCTGTGGGATGTTGAGGTGGGTGGATCATGAGGTCAAGAGATCAAGATCATCCTGGCCAACATGGTGAAACTTCGTCTCTACTAAAAATAAAAAAATTAGCCGGGCATGGTGGCACCCGCCTGTAGTCCCAGCTGCTTGGGAGGCTGAGGTGGAAGAATCGCTTAAACCCAGGAGGCGGAGGTTGCAGTGAGCCGAGATAGTGCCACTGTGTTCCAGCCTGGCGACAGAGCAAGACTCCCTCTCAAAAAAAAAAGCTCATACTTTCAAGTTGACTAGATGGGTTTCCTTTTTTTTGCAGTGTCTTTTTTGGAAAAGTGGAGCCTCACACAGCTCAAGCCGCTTGAGCCTGAAGTGCGTGCATGTGTGTGCATATTTATGTGTGTTTCATGTGTATGTCTGTTGTCATGTATGTGTTTGTATGTGCCTGTGTGTATGTGTATGTGGGGGGCAAGTTTGTGTATGTTTGTCCTTGCAGGTATGTTTTTGGATGCACGTTTGTATGTTTGCATGTGCGTCTGTGTGTATTTGTACACGTGTGTTTGTGTGCATGTCTGTGCGAGGTGTGTTGTGTGTATATATCTGAGAGTGCAGGCATTGGTGTGTGCACGTGCACGTTGGTGCAGTGTGCATTTTCAAGCACGTTTGCATTGTTGCATGTGTGTGCATGGGTTTGTGGGCATATGTCTGCTCATGTGCATGTGTTTGCACGTACATTTGCATTGTGGTGTTTTGTGTGTGCATGTGTCTTTGTCTGTGTGTGTGGACATGCAGTAGTCTGGAATGTTCAGGAGGTGGGTTTTGTCTTGGAGCCTCTGGGAACTGTCTGGTGGGGTCACCTGGCCTCACTACAGATGTGGCAGCAGAGTTGAGGGCTGCTGAGGGGGTAGCCCCTGTGGGGGACTCTTGAAGACATTGAGGGAGACAGGAATGATCTCTGGATTTCTGGCAGGGACAACCATGTGGCTTGTATGTCATTTACTGAACAGGGAGCAGGGTCACAGGTGAAGGTAAATTGAAGCCGAGCTAAGCTGAATTGGAGGCATCTGAGACATGAATGTGCAGACGTCCAGTAGATGATCCAGGCAGGTCGGGGTGTTGGGGACAGAGCCAACACCCACACTCAACAGGCAGAGGGTAGGACTGAGTGCCAGGGCAGAAGAGAAATCCTGAAAGCAGGGAGGAGTGATGAGGAGGGAAGGGCATACTCCTGGGTGAGGGTAGCTGGGGTGGGTGATGAACGGGATGGGGGGTGGGGGGGAGGGGGCGGTAAGTGGAGTGGAGCCTGCAGCCCGAAGCATGCTGGGGGAGAGGTGGGTATGAGAAGGGAATGGGGCGGGCGAGGCTGCAAGGAGTGGGAACCAGCACCCTTTGTATAACTTATGCAAGCTGTGACCTGGCCCACCCACTCACACCCTTCCCTGCTTTCATTTCTTTGCAAGCCTGGCCTGGGAAGGGAAGAGCTGGTGGGGAGGAAGCCCCCAGACTGGGCCGCCATGAATGGCAACCGCGGGAGCCCTGGCAGGGCTGCACTCTCTCCTTTGAATCCCAGGCTGCTCTGGGGCTTCATTAACGAATAGCTCAGGGGCACCCCCTCCTCTTATTCAGAAAGGGACATAGCACCATGGAAACGTCCCTCAGGTTCCTGAGGCAGGCCCCATCTAATGGGGCTGGCCCTTGCGGCTGTCAAAGGGCCTGGCTCCCAGGAACCAATGGGAAGGTGCTGGCCGAAGGCCATTAGCTGGCACCCACACAGAGACGAGCCACCCTGTTCCACAGCCCGTCATTCATATTCCAAGCCCAACAGCAGTGCTGAAAGGAGTGAGGGATTCAGAGGCTTACTTCTTTTTTTTCCCTATGTCCCCCAGGGACCTTGGAGGAATCTCATATTTAAAATTATCTTGGCAAGAGCCTGTGGTGACTCTCGCTTGGTCTTTGAGGCGGCCCACATGCACTGAGCGCGTGCCTGGGAGCACCAAAAATCAGTGAGCTGGATGGGGAAGAGGAAGAGGGATTCTCCCTGTGTGCCTGTGCCTGTGTGCACGGATGTCCGTGCTCACATACGTCCGTGTCTATCCATACCGCTGCCCAAGGCGGGTGGAGGCCCGAGGTTGGACCTTCCCCCTCCTCCTCTCACCAGCTCTAGCTGGCAAGCCCTCACAGGCTGTTTTCCTCTCTGCCGCTGGGTCTGAACCCCTCAGGGACATAACAGCTGGAGGCTGCCGAGGCTGTGAGTTTGCAGTGGGTGACTGCCTGGTACACCATGCTCTCCATTGCCACAGGCTCCTTCAGGTCCTACCAGTTCCTCTGCAAAGCGCAAATTTTCAAATGAACTGCTTGCCAGAATAAGCCATTGAGGTGTAAAGATGGGCTCAGGGCAGGGCACAGTGGCTCATACCTGAAATTTCAGCACTTTGGGAGGCCAAGGCGGGAGCATCGCTTGAGGCCAGGCATTGTACACCAGCCTGGGCAATACAGCAAGATCCTATCTCTACCAAAAATTGATTGATTGATTGAGACGGAGTTTTGCTTTTGTCGCCCAGGCTGGAGTGCCATGGCTCACTGCAACCTCCACCTCCCAGGTTCAAGTGATTATCCTGACTCAGCCTTTTGAGTAGCTGGGATTATAGGCACCCACGACCATGCCTGGCTAATTTTTGTATTTTTAGCAGAGATGGGGTTTCACCATGTTGGCCAGGCTGGCCTTGAACCTCTCACCTCAGGTGATTCACTGCCTCAGCCTCCTAAAGTGCTGGGATTGGCCAGGCATAGTGGCTCATGCCTGTAATCCAAGCACTTCGGAGACTAAGGCAGGTGGATCACCTGAGGTCGGGAGTTCAAGACCAGCCTGACCAACATGGTGAAACCCTGTCTTTAAAAAAAAAAAAAAAAAAAAGTGCGGGGATTACAGGCATGAGCCACTGTGCTCCACCCCCCAAATATTTTATGTTAGCCAGGTGTACGCCTGCAGTTTCAGCCACTTGGGAGGCTGAGGTGGGAGGACCGCTTGGGGCCAGGAGTTCAAAACCAGCCTGGGCAACTTAGCAAGACCCCCATCTCTACAGAAATTTTTAAAAGAAGTGGTTGGCCATCGTGGTGCACACCTATAATTCCAGCTACTTGGGAGGCTGAGGCAGGAGGATCACTTACACCCAGAACTTTGAGGCTGTAGTGAGCTATGGTTGCACCACTGCACTCCAGCCTGGGCAAGAGAGCAAGACCCTATCTCAATAAAAAAATATACATATATTTTCACACACACAGATATATAGGAGAATGATAGAAAATGGGTTTGGGCAAATGCCAGAGCCAACCACAGTAACTGTGGAGGCTTCAGACAAACTCCGCCCAGGATTTAGCACCCCAGGGCAGGCAGCCACAAGTGCACAAAGCCACAGATGCACCTTGTTCTATGCAACAAAATATTGAAAAACAAAACCCAGATATCAGCTCCTTTTGGTCATTCCCATCTATGTTTGATTCCTCAGTAAATTATTCTTTCCTTGCTCCTGAAAAAGAAATGAAATCAAATTTGGAGAAATAACTCCCTCACGCACACACATTTTTGTGGGCTCACTTGTATCTAAGGAACAGAAATTCCACGAGGGACCCTGGTGTCAAGAGTTGCACCCCAGTTCATGCATGGCAGGGAGCTGGCAGCGGGACCTGTCCCTGAAGCTGGCTCTCCAACCCCTAGCCTGCACTGTGACCACAGCAAAATGCCAGAAGCCTAGAGAAGTTGGGTTTCTGAAGCAGATCCTTTGTGCAGCCTGAGTACGTGCAGTGGGAACACACCTGGAGGTAATTAAAAGGCTTTATAGGGCAATCAAGGCACCCTGAAAAACAACTTTTTATTTAAAAGCCAATAATGAGTTGTACAAGAAAGAAAACCTTATCCCTTATCGCTTTTAAGGGTGCTTATCCATCCATGGTGTGTACCAGACAGGGTTGTTGGCACTGTGTAGGTGCTGCCGGCAGGCCCTTGGGAGCTTGGCGAGGTGGGAGCCTTGAGAAATATCTGGCTCGGACCCATGGCGAGGTTTGTGTGTCAACTCCCTGGTTCTCAGAGAATCTCTGAGTCACATGAGAGCAGACACTGCTTCCAAAACCAAAGGAGAAATTTTGCAATCGTTTGGACAGGTTATAATAGAATCTCATTCAGATCTTGAAGGTTATTGGTACTTTCTGCAAGTTTTTATTCTTCAAAAATACAGCAAAGCTTTGCTGTACTTATCTTGGTAGGAGCTCTAGGTTGGGCTATCTTTTCTTAATTCAACTGGCTTTTTTGCAAGGAAGGGGGTTTCTGGTCCATCTGAGGGATCAAGGGCACAGTCTGTACAAAAATAGACATTCAGCAGGCAGACCACAGCCAGAGTGTGCGACCAGCATCGTTTGGCTATTTTAGTCTCTTCTTAATACATAGACTAACGAGCAAAGAAAGGCTACTTTGTCCAACACGGGGCCCTGGGTTGGAGTTTAGCCCTGCTTGGTTCTGCCCACTAGTCTCACATCATGTCACTCACCCGAGGCCTGGGGGAACGGTGGTCTTGGTGGTCTTCTTTGGCCCTTCCACCTCTTCTCCCTTGTGGGGACCACCCAAGCCCTCTCCTCACTTGCCCAGAGGCTGCATGCCTCTCTGGCATCACAGTCTGCACAGGAACTGGCTGTAGGACTCCACTGAACTCCCCCTGGGGCTGGCTTTGTGCCCAAGGCACATCCACCTCACTTCTGCCTCCTTTCTGCTGGTTTCTGGCCTGTTTGGTTCCAGCCCCTCCCCGCACTCTCTCTGCAGCTGTGCCTGGTGGGTGATATGAACCAAGGGACACTGAGGATTGTGGCAATGCCTGGACTGTTTGGTAATCACTGGCAGTCGGTCCCTGGCTTCTGAGCCTGGGCCCTCCTCCTTGTTCTCCCTGTCCTGGATCAGCAGGACATGCTGGGGGGACAAGGTCCTACAAAGGCCTTGTAAGAGCTGTGCCCTATGTCAGGAGAGCCTCCTATATCTCCAGGGATGTCCCTGGAGCTCTCCAGCTGATGCCTCTGCTGAGGTCCCTAAGTGGCAGGAACAGGACTCTAGGGGAGGAGTTGGGGACAGGCCTTTAAGGGGAGGGTGCACCTCAGGTAAGCTGCACCTGCAGCTCACCAGCCCCTGCATCAGGGCCTGTAGGGCTGAGGGCCCCACAGGGTCGTGGGGTGAGCCTTATGCTGTGCTGAGGTGCAGGATCTGAGAAATAAAGAGACAGGACACAGAAGTACAAGGAAAACGCAGCTGGGCTCAGGGGGTCATGCCACCTATAAGCGGAGTCAGGCGAGGCCCTGAATGTCCAGAAGCATGAGTATTTATTGTGTATAGGTTAGGGGGCAGGGCAGTGAGTGAATTCATCTTTAAGGATAGTGATAGGGTCGTGAAGAATAAAACATGGGGTCGACCCCCATTAGGTCACCTAGGCCGGGAGGTGGACAGTGCACAGCAAGGGGCCTGTTCCCATGAAGGCAAGGGCCGTGAGCAGTAAGGGGGTGCAGTGTCCAATACTTCTATCTATGGGCAAACTACTTCTAAGAAGATTTATAGGAGGATGCTTTAAGTCACATAGCGGTGACAGAGCTGTCAGTGTTACCGCCACCTTCTGGCGGCTTCCAATGAGTTCTACAGGAAGATGCTTTTCGAGCAGCATAGTAGCAAGAGCTGATAAAGTTCACAGTCACCAAGGTGGATTGCCGTTCTGAGGGCAGGCTTCTACAAGAACTGGAGCAAGGTCCTACAACTCGTTTATCAGGAGGAGTGGCTCTCGCCCCAAGTCTGCCATACAGCGGGTATCTTTACGATACTGAATGCTGCCACCTGGGCCATGGATTCTTGTCCTGGTATAACTGTTTTTCCCTTAAATCATGCTCTGCACTGTGTCTGCTCTAGGCATTTCTCTGATTATAAACTGCTTATTCCTTAATCCATGCTCTGTACTGTGTCCACTCTAGGCATTCCTCCGATTATGAACTAAGATATAATTATAGGTATATATTTTAGGGAATATATAATTATAGGGAAATATTCTTTAGGCACTCATACTATCAACTATTATATGTTTCTATATAGAGGATTATATAAAGGGATTCGTCAAGCCCTATTTCTATAAACTAATATATGATTATGAGGATTATATAAAAGGAAATAGCTGAGTAGTAACACTATAAATTGAGATATTCCTCAAACCCTTACTGTGCCAGCGTTCTGCTTAGCTCTCATTCCTCGGTGCCTATATGGGGGGTTACCCACAGAGGCCAGCTTCAGCCTCAGCAGTGTCTGCTCTACCGGTGTGGCTGCTGTTAACACAGCGGGGCCAGGCCCTGGAGACTGTGACATCTTCGGTGGCTGCTTGTTTAAAGGGCATGGGATGGAGAAAGAGTATGTTCTTTTAAAGCTGGACCCAACAGCCTCTGATAGCAGATACAGCTTTGCTGCTGTTCTTTAAGTTCAAGGTGATGTGGAGGTGTTGCAGTGACAATCAGGACACCATGAGCAACATGTGCCACCAACGTTTACCCCGAAGTGTTCACACCTGGGCCTGCTTTGGCACTTAACGCTGGGGCAAAGGTCACTTTCTTGGGGACTTACCCTCCACTTCCAGTCTCCCCAGGAATTGTCCTGTCTCCTGCCTTCCTAGGCCCTGCCAGCAGCTTCAGCAGCACCTCTGCCCACCCCACTCCACCACTGGCTCCAACAGCCTGGCCCCGCCCATGGCTTAGCCCCACCCATAGTTCATCCCGCCTATGACCCCCACGCCTCTCAACGTTCAGCCCACCCACAGCTCATCCCTCCCACGGCTAGGCCCCGCCCACACCTCGTACCTCTCAAGGCTCAGCCCCACCCCCGGCTCACCCCTCCATGGCTAGGCCCCGCCCCAGCTCACTCCCCCATGGCTAGGCCCCGCCCACAGCTTGGCAGCCTGGGCAAGCGTGGCGACAGGCAGCTCCACGACTAGAGACAGGAACCAGGGGTTTGTCTTTCGGAGTACCCCACCCCAGGAAGGCAGAGTCCAAGGCTTTCTGGCTGCTCCCCGACTCCATGGGCTCCTCTTCCCCTCCTAAGTCCCCTCAGGGCCAGAACTCCTGGCCCTCAGGACCTGGGGCAGCAGGCAAGGAGGCCTCTCTGCCTGGTGCGGCCTCCATGGAACAAAACTACATTGCAGTGTTCCAGAATCACAGAACAGCCCGATGGGCTGTCCCCAGCAAAGGGGACTGGTGACCAGCACTGGACACAGCATCAGCTGGTCACAGGCTTGAGAATGCATTGTTTTACCCAGGGAGCTTCAAGACGGATGCTGGCTTTTAACAGAGCAGCCCTGCTGCACCAAAGGAGGACACGGCCGGTTACCTACGGACTATTCTTCACCAACCCCGAGGCAGGGATCCCCTCTCCATACCCATAACCCAAAGTTCTAGGCCACTGGTTCCCAAGAGTGAGCATGTCCTGCAGAAATACGTGGGTTTAATGAGAGGGAGCAGCTGCCACAGAACGGAGGATCTCCCCCAGCGAACATGCAGGTACCTCACCTTCTGAGGGCTTTCGAGGGTGGACTGGTTCCTAGGACCTGCAGCTTTGAGCCGGCAGGCAGAGAGGGCCGGGATGGTGCCCCAGGGAGTGGACCTGGGCAGGTATGGTGATGAGGGCAGGGGTCTACAGAGGGCCTGTGTCAATTACGCAGTCCATCAAGTTATCAGCCAGTTCAGTGGAAAAAAATGGTTTTGGCAACTCACAGTCCAAATGAGGAAAACATGTGAGCAAGCTAGACCCTCGGCTGACTTGTTTCCACCCACTGTAGAAACAGAGCCTACGTGGAGACGGGCCAGGCAGCGAGCTGCAGGGTGGAGCTCGTCCTTCACTTTGGGTGGCCCCATCGCTGAGTGACTGGGAGAGGATGGGTTGGGCTGGGCACACCTGTGTCCTCCTCCCACAGGGCAGGTGGACTTTTGAAGCTCCTTTCTCCCTTCCACAAGACACTGAGTTGGGGCCATCAGCCCCTGACTGACGTGGAGGAGGCCCCAGGCTCAGGCTTGGCTCCCAGGGGTGACTCAGAAGGCTGCCATGCTGCAGAAGAAGCGCCCAGGGATTAGACTGTTCCCGTGAACAGAAGCCTTGGGAGAAGGCATTGGCTGTGTAAGGAGGGGTTTTCTAATGCTAGTCTCTCCTGAGACTGAGGCCAGCCCTGGCAGGAGTCCTGACAAGGGTGCTGTGGATCTGGACATCAGGCCTCGGCTGTGCAGGGGTCTAGATGCCCCTGAAGGCCCACCCGGGTCTAAGGCTCTTCTTCTTGATGCCCTAACAAGGGCTAATCTCACACACAAGCAAGAGATGGGCATAGACACTGTGTGCTTACCCCAGGACCTCCTTCTTAGGCCTCTGCAGCTGCTGCCTCCAAGGGCTCTGCACACCAAGCCCAGCTGTGGAGCTGTGAGTGCAGAGGCCACACACATGGGGTGATGGGGACTGTCCCAGACAGCAGGTGCGACGTGCTCCATCATGAGCCTATGCTCTCCCTTGAATGGCGGGCCTGCCTCCTCACTCTCCTCTCCTCTTCCCCCGGGTGACCCCACAGAAGCCAAGGCACCTGCTGGGCTTGGTAACAGATGTTGCCCTGCTGTTCTCAAAAGCAAGTGTGATGCAGCTTTTGTGATTATAATTTGGGATTTAAAAAAATCTTCATTTACGCAGTGACAGAATCCACCTAGAATCCTTCCTGGGAAGGGCAGCTCTGGAGGGCAGTGCTCCAGGGGGCAGGGAGGGTGATAGGGGAAAGGATGGTGTGAGGGGCTGGGGCGTGGAGTAAGCTCATGTGGGGACCTGGGTGTCTTTAGCTCCTCACTGGCTTGAGACAGGCCATGTTTTTCCATGGAGATGGGGGAAGCTGGTCTCACACCTTCCTAAGGCATAGCAGGTCGTGTCTGCCTGGCCTATTGGGCCGAGATCGGGGGCAAATCCTGGTTGTCGAGGGTGTCACCAGGAAGAGGGGCATGGTGTTGGCACTGGCTGCTAATAGCAGCTCCTCACAGGTCAAGGTTGTGGGCAGACTGCAAGGTGCTGTCAGAGAACCTGTCACTGCAGGCTCCCTGGTGGCCCCGAGTTCACAGAAGACGTGTCTGTTGGACTGAAAAACCACCATCCGAGCTGCAGCTGGAGATGAGGAGATGCAAGCCACTGGCACTTCCCAGAGAATGAAGCAAAGGCATTTGGGATTCCTTCAACAAACAAAAGCACAAAGAGAAAGAGAAGCGGTGCAGATATTGAGGTGTTAAGTAGGTATCATCCTTCTTCTCCTAACACGATTAATTATCTTTCCAGTCGTAGTTCCTGTGTCCTCTGCAGCATGGCCATCACGGCATGGAGGCAATGATGGAGACCTAGACTGGGAAGTTCTTCTTCGTGGGCAGAGATGGGGCAATGATGATATCGTTGGAGTCATCAGAGTTGACGTCATCCCTAGGTGGAGGTGCCACGAGCTGCAGCCCCGAAGGAGGGGGGGTCTGTGGAAATGAACCACAGAGAGAGGGGTCAGCCACACTGACCTCAGGGGCTGCCACCACGGACACCCTTTCACTGTCTGCTCTTCCCTGCAAGATGGCGGCCACCCCCAGAAGCAGTAAGCCATGGGACAGATGGGCCCTCAGAACCAATTTACATACCTGCCAGAAAGCCTCTCTCTCCTAACCTTCAAACTCAGCTCTGAGTATCCTGACCATTTCCCCAAATCAAAACACCTGCAAAAGCAGACATTCCTCTGGCGCAGCATGGAGGAACCTCAAGTCTGCGCCAGAGGAATTCCCTGAAAGTCATTCCCACCGAAGCAGCCTAGGAGTCGGACCCTGGGCGGGAGGCTACTGGTCTGTAGGAGTGTTTCTGCTGGGTGCAGTGGCTCATGCCTGTAATCCCAGGACTCTGGGAGGTGGAGGTGGGAGGGTTGATTGAATCCAGGAGTTCTAGACCAGCCTGGGCAATACAATGAGACCACATCTCAAAAAAGAAAAAAAGCCGGTTTCCTAGTTAACTTGCTGGCCACTAGTATGGACGGCAGGATGGGGCAAGGCACGGATCACTGTGAGCTTGCAAGCTGCTTGGCCATTCCCCCAAGGATGCTACTTCCTTATAAGTATCTAGAACGTTCAGAACTTTTAATCCACCCTAGAATGGGATGCCACGTACAGACGGGATGGGGATGGGTACCGGAGCTGAAGAAGGGACAGGCCCCACCACAGCAGCCCAGAGCTCCTCGGGAGGGAGCCTGGCTTTTACTGCTTCAAAAGATGAAAGTAAAAAAGTCATGAATTGCTGATTTGAGATTTTTAAAAGGGAAGGAAATGACAATTCGGCCATGCTGCAGATACTGTAACTGTGTCAGCTTTTTCTTCCCTGCAACTTTCAAGAAAATTCATACTACTGGGTATGAATTTTAACTACTGTACTTTTAACTACTGGGTCATGCCTCCATGATAGGAGGCATGAGTTTTATGTTTAGATGAATTTGCCCTGATCTAACATTTTTCACTGAAAACACCCTTAAACAACCACACTGTCTTTGGGGCAGTCAATGACTTACATATTTTTGCTTCAAAGGTGCTTTAACTTATGTATGTACAGTGGAAATTGCAAAAGGTGCGATTTATACTTAGGAAAAAGTAACATTGGATTTAAGGGCTTTAGCGATTTAGAATGTACATGTTTATTTTTTTCAGTTCAGGCCATATAGTTGGTACTTCAAATTCCCTGTAAAGAAGGCATTAGATTTAATACAAATGGAGGGTAATTTGACTTACAGGTGGGGAAATAGCTTGTCATTCTGAGGGCAAGTTTAGGTTCAAATGTTTCATTTCAGGGATTTAAAAGATAACTTTCAGTGGAGATTCTCAAAGGCCTCAAAACCCATTGACCCCTTAGGGTGGCTCTGGATTCTGAGGAGTAACAAATGTCACAGCCTCTTAGCCAGAAAAATCTGATGGAACATATTGATTTCCCTTGATTCCCATTGAACTGTGTCTGTGTATTTAACCAGGAGCATCTGAAGGATTGGCTGGCAGCTCTGTTTGAAAGAGAGGGTGTTAGTTAGGTCACACCTTGGATTTTAGAGCCATAAAATTTGTAAGAAAAACCATTTTCTGCCAGGCAGCAGCATACACTATAGAGTCTGTTAGACTTTCTCAGTACTTTTGTTTTTAATACTTAGCTTGTGTCTGCTAAGTGGATGCATTAGTGGACTTGTTTTGGAGAACATGCCTAAGTCACTGACTTCATTTAAAGCTGAGATTGGGAGAAAGTTGCCTTTCTATGAAGAGTTGGTTTATAGTCTATAACCTGGGGGATGGTATCCATTGAGGCTTATTCTTATCTGGATAGTTTTCTAAAGAGTTTGAGTTTAGAGTTGAACATTACAGTCCAGGAATTAGAGAACCCTGGAGCAAATTGAATGCGGGGACATTTATCTTTGCATACAAACCTCCCTGCTCAGTGCCTCTAGTACCGGCTTGCAGCCTAAAACATCCAGGGAACAGCTGTAGGAGCAGCAGAGTCAAGAAAGATGCCACGGACACCAAACTTAGGAAAGAGGTGAAGCTCAAGGGGCCTTTTGGACAGAACTAAATTGGGTACAGACTGGCCACATGACTCTCATGTGTTGTTCTGTTTTTTGTTCTGAAAGAGCCACATCCTCTTACAGGTTTGAGTGCTAGAGGAAAACAGGAAAACAGTTGAGAACTGGAAAAAGAGCGATGTTGAAAAGTGAAGTTATGGAGACTGTGGTGGGGAAGGGAAAACACACCAGTGCAAGGCGGTACAGAAAATCAGCGTTGGGAATTCTCATCTAGCCACCATCACTAATTGACTCTTTATTTCTGTGGTGCTCTAAAATAAGGGACTCATGCAAAGGCTTTGTAAAGAGGCAAGTGATCCACTTTGCAAATAAAGTGCGATATCTGATGGGAAATAAAGGGGAAGGTAGCCCTGAGCTGGAGCCTTCCTAAAGGAAGCTCTACAGTGAGAAGTGAAAGCTGAGTCAGGAAACACAGGAAGTCACCCCTAAGGAATGACTAGAATGCAGGTGCGGAAGGAGCAGGGGTCAGGCTCTGCCGGGAACCTTACCTTTAGGGTTGCAGATCATTACCAAGGCTGACACTGGGCAATACCGTCAGCTTTAAGAGACTTCAGGGAATTCATGTTGTGTCTATTCTGTTGGTTACTGGATGTGTGGATAATCGAACTTGCGCAAGGCTGGGAAATCCAGAATGGGGCTGTAGTATCACTTGTATGAATAAAATAAAAGCTTAATTGGGTGTTCTAGATAAAATCCCCTGTTGTTGGCTTTGTGTGTTTAGAGGGAACCTGGGAGTATAGAAAGTGTGAAATAATCTTATGTATTGGTAAGACTATCTAGAACATTATGTAGATCACATTTCTTTGTGTTGATGAAATAGCTAGGGCAATAATGAAATAAATAAATCAACGAAATAAGCAGGGCAATGCCTGCAATGCCTGAAGGCCATCTTAGAATTTATTTCTAAGAGGAGCTGAAAGGTTCGGAAGTGGGTGGGTGGGAGCCCTGCACGCCCGCTGTAGAAGGCTGGGGAAAGGCCCCGTAGAAAGTTGATGGTAATTCCTGATTCTAGTTTTGTTCTTTATTTTTCTTGGCATGCAAATTTTCCTCCACAAATGGAAAAATTCTTCCATTCTTTTCATTCCTCTGCCAGCAGAAACTACGACACCGGAGGAAGTGACAAGGACACAACCCACCAGCTCTCCGTTGTACCCTTACACAACAGGTAACCGCGTTCTCTTTCCTGAACACCTGGGATCATTCAAACCTTGATAATCATTGGCTCTGTTGAGGGCACATGCTCTGGAATATGACAGATCCGACTTGAGTGCCAACACCAGCCTCTCAGATCTGTCATGTGACTTGTACAAATATTTACCGTTTCCGAATGTTTTGTTGTGTGTGTGTGTGTGTGTGTGTGTTTTGAGACTGATTCTCCTGCCTCAGCCTCCCGAGTAGCTGGGATTACAGGCATGTGCCACCACACCTGGCTAATTTTATAGTTTTAGTAGAGAGGGGGTTTCACCATGTTGGCCAGGCTGGTCTCAAACTCCCGAGCTCAAGAAACCCACCTGCCTTGTCCTCCCGAAGTGCTGGTATTACAGGCATGAGCCTCCACAGCCCGTTGTTTTGTCATTTGTAAAAAGGATGTAATACCATGATCTTGTAGAATGCTTGTGAGAATCAAACGGGATGAAAGAGTTAGGACATAGTTACAGAGGGTAAGTGATAATTATAATAGCAGCTATTATCATTATTCTTTAGAACATCAAGAATCCAAATGCCTGATTGGCGCAGGTGGCTTATGTGATTTGGAAACATCCACATGCATATTACTTTGCTTTTAGAAATCAAGTCAACCAGCCTTGAATCTGAACGTATTATTTCGACTTGATTCCTTGGGCCAGGGCCTTAAAAGCAATTAAATCCAGTCCTCTGGTGTTTAGATCAAACACCAGACCCCATGTTTCTGATCAATCCCAGACCCTAAACAGTACCAGGAGGCTCCCACTGCCTCATCAAGTTTGTATTTACATGAGCATTCTCAGATGGTGCTGTGGTTTGAATGTTTATTTTCCTGCTATTTAGGGAAAACTCCCAAACTGGGTTTTCTCTCTGTTCTCACACCACCTCAACAACAAGCATCAACTCAGATCAAGACTTCAGTGACTGAATGTGTGGAGGAGTTTTTTCCTCATGCATCAATCAGTGGACACCGGCTGTGTATCCATTTCAATTCTCACACTATCTACCTGGAGAGAGGGTCAGATTTCACAGGAAAGATCCCATCTATCGCTCCTTTCCCAGCTATCTCTCCTTGTTCCCCTTAGTGGTAAACTCTGGGAGTGCCCTATGCTGAGCTCCTCTTTGATGCTGAGCTGGCTGTGGGTCCTTGTGTGGTATCCAAGCAAGGTCATGCAGGGTCACAGGTTGGGGGCTCAGTCCCCAAGACTGCCCCTCCCACCCCCGCCATACACACCAGGTACAAGTCCAGGTCTCTGGAACTTCTGCCCCACCAGTTTCAAGTTAGGTTTCCCGCCACCCTCTCTTTGGGTTCTATTAATTTCCTGGAGTGGCTTCCAGAACTCAGAGAAACACTTATGTTTACCAGTTTACTATGAAGGATATTGCAAAGGATACAGATGATGAGATGCACAGGATGAGGTATAGGGGAAGGGATACAGAGGTTCCATGCCCTTCCTTGGGAACTCTAACTTCCAGGAACCTCCAAGTGTTTTTAGCTATCTGGAAGCTCTCCAAACCTAGTCTTCTTGGAGTTTTTTGGAGACAGAGTCTTGCTCTGTCACAAGGCTGGAGTGCAGTGGCATGATCTCGGCTCACTGGAACCTCCACTCCCAAATTCAAGTGATTTTCCTGCCTCAGCCTCCTAAGTAGCTGGGATTACAGGCATGTACCACCACGCCCAGCTAATTCTGTATTTTTAGTAGAGATAGGTTTTTACCATGTTGTCCAGGCTGTTCTTGAACTCCTGACCTCAGGTGATCCGCCCACCTCGGCCTCTCAAAACTGCTGAGATTATAGGCATGAGCTACTGCACTTGGCCCTTCTTGGGTTTTTATGGAAACTTGAAGACATCAACATTCCATCCCCCAGGGGCACAGGGAAAGATTCACTCTGGGAAGAGTCTTATGACCCATAATCAGAAAGCCAGGGGAAATTAAATCTCTGCCTTGTCAGGTGAAAGGGGAGCAGGAGAAGGTCAAAGATTCTTTCCCGAGGTCAAATATATTTATCATTATAACAAAAGACTGTAACTGGGGCTATGGGAATTATGAGCCAGGAACCATGCTCAGACATCCGTCTGTCTATATATGTACATATAATCTCATAACACCACACCCCCAAATTCATGTTGGTAGCTAATCCCCAGTGCAAATATTAAGAGCTGGGGCCTTTGGGGCATAATTAGGTCATGAGAGCCCCGCCTTCATGATGGAATCAATGCTTGTATAAAAGGCCCAAAGTACCATTTTCTGAATGGGAAAGAAAAAACAAATGAATTAGTTAGACAAAAGGAGGCCCAAGGGAGCTTGTTTGCCCCTTCCCTCATATGAAAACAAATAGAAGACACCATCTATAGGGAAGAGGACCCTCACCGGATTGAGTAATGAGCCTGTGCTTTGATCTTGGACTACCCAGCCTCCAGAACTGTGAGCAATAAATTTCTGTTTAAATTACCCATTCTAAGCTATCTTATCATAGCAGCCTGAACAGACTAAAACAGATGGGTTGAGGACACCCACAGCAACATCAAAGAAGCATACCCCTCGGAGATCCTGCTACTCTAATCCAAACAATCCATAGTATTGTCCCAAGTCGGTGCAGGCCTCTTAGAGGCTCCTTGAAAGTGTAGAATTGACCTATCTTTCCTTGTGATGGAGGAAGGTGATGCTGAAACCTGTCATCTTTCCCAGCCAACTCTCTTTGTTCCCCTTAGTGGAAAGCTCTTGGGAGTGCCCTATGCTGAGCTCCTCTGTGATGCTGAGCTGGTTATGTATCCTTGTGTGGCGTCTAAGCAAGGTCATGCCTTGCAGGACTCCTCGTGTGTATGACTCATTGTACTCAGGAGATGCCAATCTGTAGGCAGCTGCTTCCCAGCCCACATGGCCTACAGTTTTTGCCAATCATTCCTGGTAGCTGGTTAATTTAAAATGGACCTGCAGTGTGATTCACAGAGGGACTCATTCAATTGGGATTAGATAATGGTGACATTTGGTTTTGAAAGTGTAATCCTTAGCGCAAACTGTTTCTAGGCACAAAAGCAAAATGAAAATAGATAAAAACACAAGGTAACAGCAGTAGGAGCAGCTGCACCCCACTCTTTGAGGGTGTAAGGAGGAAGAAAATAGGAGTGGGGAATCATTCTCTGAAATACCGTGTCAGTAGAACCTGGTCAAGGTAGCGTTTTCCAGGATGGAACAGACAGTGGAGCAGCTGTATCCCCAGGACTCGTGAGGCTGCTGCCATTTTGGCGGTGGATCCAAGGCTCTTGGGCCAAGTTCTCACTGCGTCTGGGTTGGCCCTCAGTTGCCTAAAGCCTCATGGAAGCAAGGAATATTAGGTCTGGAAAGGATTTAGGCTGTCACATGGCCCACTACCCACCTTTGACAGATGTATGTGCCAGGAAATGCATATATTATCTTGTTTAATTCTTTCAAGGCAGGACACATTTAATGGGATTGCCAGATTGAGGAGGCTCTATAAATCTGCTCTGGAGACACAACTCCCATTTCAGCCATGAGTTACTAGTTGTGTGCCCACAGGCAAATTGTTGAACATTCCTCTCTGGATGATGGGAGTATGTATTTGGAAAGTGCATTGCATCGTATCTATCCTTCCCTCCTCCCCAGTTCTCTTCCTGTTGTATAATAATAATAGCTTAGTGCCAACCACTTTACATGCATCATCTAATTTAATTGTAACAACTTGATGGGCTGTGTACTATTAATAGGTTGTAGTTCATGTGGTTCTCTAGCTAGAGATATATAGTCTCCCTTATCTGCAGTTTTGCTTTTCTGTAGCGGTCAACTGCGGTTCTAAAATACTAAGATATTTTGAGAGAGACTAAATTCCCATAGCTTTTATTACAGTTTATTTTTATAATTGTTCTATTATATGATTTACTGTTGTTAATCTCTTTCTGTGCCTAATTTATAAATTAAGCTTTATCATAGGTATGTATATATAGGAAAAACATGGTCTGTAGAGGGTTTGGTATTATCTTTGGTTTCATGTGTCTACTGAGGATCTTGGAACAACTGTATACACACACACACACACACACACCCCTTTATATGCCCCTACATACATATATACCTCTGTGTATGAAAAGGACCTTGAGTATCAAAGTTACATTGCTAACAGACATTGTCAGCATTGAACTCAAATTTTATCTGACTCCAGGCCATGCTATTTTTCTGCATCACCCCATTCTCTTCCTGAAACTGTTACTTAAGGTCTTAATACCTGTCACAAACAGAGCTGAGATTCTTTATATTACATAAACCTACATATTGCTTTTGGCTTTCTTTTTCTATTATTATTATTTTTAAATAGTCTCACTCTGTTGCCCAGGCTGGAGTGCAGTGGCATGATCTTGGCTCACTGCAATCTCCACCTCCTGGGTTCAAGCAATTCTTGTGTCTGTCTCCCTGGTACTGGAATTACAGACGTGTACTATCATACCTGGATAATTTTTTATATTTTTAGTAGAGATGGGGTTTCACCATGTTGGCCAGGCTGCTCTTGAAATCCTGACCTCAAGTGATCTGCCTGCATCAGCTTCGCTAAGCACTGGCATTACAGGCATGAGCCACTGTATCCAACCTTGCCTTTGGCTTTCTGGGAAGCCTCAGAAGCAGTAAAATGTAAACACAGTAATATAAATTTTGGGGAGATATTAGTCCAAGTTTATTCATGTTGAACCTATAGCATTGTCATCAGCTAGAGAACTTCATAGACTTAAGTATTTCCATTTGACGGAAGTGCAATGTGTGTGTAGGTTATCAGCAGAGTCTCTTGTCACTTAATTAGAAATCATCATCCAACCATTTCCTGTGTGTTTCTTCATCTGTAAAAATGAGATTAAGGAATTGGTTGTTACACTGTAAAGTGCTCACTATGTGGTAGATGCTCAGTAAGAAGACAGTTCTGTGTTTCACCTATAGTTGTCTAGGAAAGCCAACAGAATATACTCTTATTTTTTGGGGGGACAAGGTCTCACTCTGTTGCCCAGCCTGGAGTGTAGTGGTGCTATCTCAGCTCACTGAAACCTTTGCCTCTGAGGTTCAATCGATTCTCCTACCTCAGCCTCCTGAGTAGCTGGGTCTACAGGCATGTTCCAGCATGCCCAGCTAATTTTTTGTACTTTTTGGTAGAGATGGGGTTTTACCATGTTGGCCAGGCTGGTCTTGAACTCCTGACTTCAAGTGATCTGCCTGCCTTGGACTCCAAAGTTCTGGGATTATAGGCATGAGCCACCATGCCTGGCTGAGAATATACTGCCTACCACAAAATAGATATTTTAAAACACATTGAAATTTTGAAATGTTCAACTCTAAGAGAAATGTATCTTATATAAGATCTTAATCTTTATATGGTATAATAGACATTGATCTGGTGGTTGATATATTTTCTAAAGTACTTCTAGATCAAAGTGTAAGCACACTGGTGACAACACAGGAGTTATATGCCACCTGTTTTCCATATTATAGTATGTTTTACTCATTCTGAACATAAAACCAATGTGATGTCCATTCTAAAGAGGATGGTTCTGGTTTTTGGATGTAATGCCTCTGGACATTCATATACAGCTTTTCAGATAGCATAAAACTATTGATTGCCTTTAAATGGCATTCTTAACTTGACTCCATGAATGGGCTTTTGTGGTTACCCTAAAACAGTACATAAAACTTTGTGTGTACATGCATTATTTTTATTTTTATTTTTTTTGAGACGGAGTTTCGCTCTTGTTACCCAGGCTGGAGTGCAATGGCGCGATCTCGGCTCACTGCAACTTCCGCCTCCTGGGTTCAGGCAATTCTCCCGCCTCAGCCTCCCGAGTAGCTGGGACTACAGGCACGCGCCACAATGCCTAGCTAATTTTTTGTATTTTTAGTAGAGACGGGGTTTCACCATGTTAACCAGGATGGTCTCGATCTCTCGACCTCGTGATCCACCCGCCTTGGCCTCCCAAAGTGCTGGGAGCATTATTTTCTTAATAAAGAAAAAAGAAGGAGTTCATTTTCAAAGAACCTGTGATAAAAAGTTAAGAAACACACTTTACAGGAGGAATTAATACAACATTAATAACTTGGTATGACTCCTGCAATGCCTGCAGCGTTTGATCATATTATCATTCAACTTTTCATCACCAGAAGGCAACGTGAGTATATTTAGTGTCTGCAGTGAAAATTCAATATTTTTTGTAATTCTAATTAAATTTCCTTCTTGTTAAGCAGATGGGAATGACACCGTGACAGTCTTCAGATGGCCTTTGGAATAACAATCAAACTGTAAGCATATTCCTCCTTATTTGATTAGCCAGATTCACTTGAATATCTCCCTGGAAGCAAGTTACATTTAAAGCCTATTTCTGTAAGGCTAGCCTGCAGATTTTTTTTTTTAATTCTTAAAAAAAATGAAGAAAATAATTTGACTCTCAAATAGAATGCTTTAATTTGAAAAGTTTATTTCGGTGATCTCGTTTGTTAGGGATACCCAAAGAGCAATATGTTACTGAGTAGTACACTTAGATACACAGTACATAGACTTTCTGCTGGGCGAAAATTGGGGAAAAAAAGAATGAGCTAATTTAAGGAGAGCAAGTTAAGATAACACACCAAGGAGGAATTCAATTATCATTAGGAAAACAGCATGCTTTGACAGGTGGAATAGAGGCCATCCCAAACAAAAGTATAATGTAAGTGAAACTAACATAATATGTTTATTCCCTAATATATTTCCCCCACCTAATGACTATTTTATGCAGAAATTTTTAAGACTACTGTTGATTTTTTCCTATACATAAACCTCTCCATGGGATGACTTTTTTTTTTTGAGTCATTGTCTCACTTTGTCACCCAGGCTGGAGTGTAGTGGCGTGATCCCAGCTCACTGCAACCTCCTCCTATTGGGTTCAAGTGATTCTCCTGTCTCAGCCTTCTGAGTAGCTGCAATTACAGGTGCACACCACCATATCTGGCTAATTTTTGATTTTTAGTAGAAATGGGGTTTCACCATGTTGACCAGGCTGGTCTTGAACTCCTGACCTTGGTTGATCTGCCCATCTCAGCCTCTCAAAGTACTGGGATTACAGGCGCGAGTCACCATGCCTGGCCCAGGATGACTTTTTAAGATAAGTAAGTCCTAGATAATAACTTTGATTCTGTAAAATGTTCCCATACCTTTTTTCTCAGTGAACTTGGGAAAAAGTCTAAGGGACCTAGTCTTATGATGCTCATCAAAGTCTTCTACTTCCATGTAAATTAGATACATTTATTAATAAGACCTTTTCTTTTGGCTCCTGTAAGAAACAACTGCCTTTTAGTATCTGCAAGTAACTTTTTGAAGCAACAAACAAAAAAAGTCTGAGGTTATGAGAATAATCCTTCTGTTTTTCTTTTTTAAATTTATTTTTATTTTTTGAGACAGAGTTTCACTCCCATTGCCCAGCCTGGAGTGCAGTGGCACAGTCTCAGCTTGCTGCAACCTTCACCTCCAGGGTTTAAGTGATTCTTATGCCTCAGCCTCCCCAGTAGCTGGGATTACAGGTGTGTACAACTATGCCTGGCTAATTTTTGTATTTTTAGCAGAGATGGAATTTCATCATGCTGGCCAGGCTGGTCCAGAACTCCTGACCTCAAGTGATCTGCCTGCCTCGACCTCCCAAAGTGCTGGGATTATAGGCATGAGCCACCACACCTGGTCCAAGAATAATCTTTCTGATAGTTGTAAGAAATGACAACATGGCCATTGTATAAAAAGTTCAAAATGGTCAGACAAAGTGGGGTTATTTAGTGTAGAGCCAAATGGCCTTATGCCATATACCTTAGTGACATTAAGAATGCCACTACATAGGAATAACATTTAAAAATATAGCAACTTGTACAGCATGCCGTGATTGATCCGACATACTGGCTAAATATCAGAACTGCCACTATATATATGTTTAGTGTATTGACATATGGCCAGACTTATGCTGGATTTAAAAAAAAAAACAAAACCCTGGCCAGGCTTGGTGGCTCATGCCTGTAATCCCAGCACTTTGGAAGGCTGAGGCAGTCCAATCATGAGGTCAGGAGTTTTGAGACCAGCCTGGCCAACATAGTGAAACCTTGTCTCTACTAAAAATACAAAAATTAGTCGGCTGTGGTGGCACATGCCTGTAGTCCCAGCTATTCTGGAGGCTGAGGCAGGAGAATCCTTTGAACCTGGGAGGCAGAGGTTGCAGTGAGCCGAGACTACGCTGTTGCACTCCAGCCTGGGTGACAGAGTGAGACTCTGTCTCAGAAAAAAAAAAAACAACCAAAAAACTAACCCTCAGAATAGTGAGGTCATTCTTGCCCTGTTACCTACAGAATAGGTATGTTTAGAAATAAGGGAAAACAATTTAGAAGCAGGTTCAAGGTTGGCAGTAGCAGAAACTTGGGCTTTCTGTGCCTTGACTGAAAATGTCAAGGTGTCTTCTCCCAGGTATCTTGAAAGCATGAAGAATACATTTTGACTCAGTAGGTCACCTTCCTGGGCCCTATCCTAACGAAAAAATTGAACTAATAAATAAAAATGTATGAAAAGAATGTTTATTGTTAATATTTATAATCATGAAAATGTTGTAAACAACCTAAATGTTTAATAGTAAGGCATTACTTAGTGAAGCAGGTGCACATGTTGCCATAAGGAATGTAGTCATCGCAGTGCATTTATGACATAGGTTATAGCATGTTATAATATGTTGGTTATAATACATTATTAAGTGAAAGAAGCAGCTTTTAAAATGGCATACAATTATGATATACTATAGTTCATATAGAATACAGTAATTATTTCTGGGAAGAAAAAATCCTAGAAGGATAAAATTCTAGAAAAGTATATAAAGCAAAATGGCAAAAGTGCTCGTTTCTGGATGTGAAAGTTATGCTTTATTTATTTATTTGAGACAGGGTCTCACTCCATTGCCCAGGCTGGAGTGCAGTGGCACGATCACAGCTCACTGCAGCCTCATCCTCCCAGGCTCAAGTGATCTTCCCACTCCAAACCTCCTAAGTAGCTGGGACCAGAGGCACATGTCACTATGCCTGGCTAATTTTATTTTTTTCTGGAGACAGGGTCTCACCAAACTGGTCTCAAACTCCTGGACTCAGGCTATCCTCCTGCCTTAGCCTTCCAAAGCTCTGGAAATATGGGTGTGAGCCACTGTCCCTGACCTGGTTATGGTTTTTTTCGTTTTCTTTTTTACGCTTAGCTGCACATTCTAAAACGAGCATGCAGTATTTGTGTAATGTAATCAACAAACGAAAGCAAAGCCTGTCTCCTGAAATCCCATTCTCCATCTACCCACATTACACTTCCCTCCCACCCCATAGGTAAGGTAGTAACATAGTAAAAACATAGTTGTGCACTCCCAGACACTGGCTATGCCAGTTTTTTTTTTTTTTTTGAGACGAAGTTTCGCTCTTGTTACCCAGACTGGAGTGCATGGCGCGATCTCGGCTCACTGCAGCCTCCGCCTCCTGGGTTCAAGCAATTCTTCTGCCTCAGCCTCCCGAGTAGCTGGGACTACAGGCGCGCACCACCATGCCCAGCTAATTTTTGTATTTTTAGTAGAGACAGGGTTTCATCTTGTTGACCAGGATGTTCTTGATCTCTTGACCTTCTGATCCACCTGCCTCGGCCTCCCACAGTGCTGGGATTATAGGCGTGAGCCACCATGCCCGGCCTAGTTTTTTTTTTTTTTTTGTGATGAAGTCTTGATCTGTTGCCAGGTTGGAGTGCAGTGGTGTGATCTCAGCTCACTGCAATCTCTGCCTTTGGGTTCAAGCGATTCCACAGCCTCAGCCTCCTGAGTAGCTGGGACTACAGGCACGCACCACCACACCTGGCTAATTTTTCGTATTTTAGTAGAGACAGGGTTTCACCATGTTGGCCAGGATTGTCTTGATCTCCTGACCTTGTGATCTGCCTGCCTTGGTCTCCCAAAGTGGTGGGATTACAGGCGTGAGCCACCATGCTTAGCCTGGCTATGCCACTTCTAAGCAAGCATGGCTCAATTGCTGTTACTCCACTCGTATTCTTAGTGTTTATCAGGAAGGACCTAAAAGTACCCTTGCAAAGACCCTATTGAATATGTTATTGCTAGACATAGAAATAGGTTCAGAGAGGGTAAACAGTTTGTCCATGGTCACATAGTGACTAAGTAGAAGACCTGGGATTCTGACTCCAGAGATGAAACTTTTACAGATGAGAAGACTTGACCTTCATTCAGATTCTCCCTTTTCCTTCTATTAAAATACCTACCCAGTGAGATTGCTTTAGGATTACAACTAAGCCTTGAAAGGGGGACTAGCATGACGCCTGGCACATTTCAGGCTTATTCCAGGAGGTGATGATCTCTTGTGATAAGCACCAGAAGACAAACAATTCTGTATTTCTGCATGATTGCATAGAATTGTTAATCATGGACATATCTGTGTGCTGCTACTCTCTAATCTGTTTACATAGAGACAGAATAGTCAATTACAGGTAAAAAGACAAGTAAGGATTGTCATCAAGGACGAAATTCAAAAACTGAGCACATTAAGATAACATCAAGTCAATTTATATGAACACATTTTTTTCTTTTTCTGAGATAAAGTTTCACTCTCTCCTAGGCTGGAGTGCAGTGGTGCAATTTTGGCTCACTGCAACCTCCAACTCCTGGGTTCAAGCAGTTTTTCCTGCCTCAGCCTCCTGAGTAGCTGGGATTATAGGTGCGCACCACCACACTTAGCTATTACGTTTTTAGTGGAGACAGGGTTTCACCATGTTGCCCAGGCTGGTCTCATACTCCTGACCTCAGTTGATCTGCCTGCTTGGGCTCCCAAAGTGCTGGGATTTACAGGCATGAGCCACCACACCTGACCTTTTTCTTTTCTTTCTTTCTTTCTTTCTTTTTTTTTTTTTTTGAGACGGAGTTTTGCTCTTGTTACCCAGGCTGGAGTGCAATGGTGCGATCTCGGCTCACCACAACCTCCGCCTCCTGGGTTCAGGCAATTCTCCTGCCTCAGCCTCCCAAGTAGCTGCGATTACAGGCACGCACCACCATGCCCAGCTAATTTTTTGTATTTTTAGTAGAAACGGGGTTTCACCATGTTGACCAGGATGGTCTCGATCTCTTGACCTTGTGATCCACCCGCCTCGGCCTCCCAAAGCGCTGGGATTACAGGTGTGAGCCACCGCGCCCGGCCCTTTTTCTTTTCAAATATCACAAGAGGATGTATTTATGGAAATAGCTTATTGACTTTTAAAACAGTAAATTCAAAAATTTACATATAAACCTGTTTTAAGCATACAGTTTTAGTTTTGACAAATGTGTACACCTATGTAAATATGACCTCAAGCAAGATAGAAAACACCTTTATCATTGTAAAATATGTTTTGAATTTCAGTTTGTCTTAGATTTTCACCATATGTTTACAAACTCAGATCATTTGGTCTTACCCTTACGTTCCAGAAGTACCCAGGCACCAATACAGGTAAATGCCGCTGGTAAGTGATTCTGGGAAATGTTTTCTCTTTATAGCTTTTTAACAAGATGCTGTTTCAATCTGTTATTTTTTCCTTAGCAACTGACCCAAGTATATAGTCCACAGACGGCCACTACCACTAAGGAACTCTATGCTGGACTCTGCATTTCTGTCTTGGTACTTCTTGCTCTTTTAGGTGCCATCATTGCCAAGAGTAAGTCATTTTGAGTTTGTTCCTAAGGGACCGGAACAAGGAATGTATGGCCAATTTGCCTGGGTTCACTAGTTTCTTAAGTCACGTGATTTTGATCTCACATGACTTCCCTTTATCCCCCAACTCCTCATTTGTAAAAGGAACCTGGTAATAACATCTACCTCAAGGGGGCAGGGAAAATGAAGTTTAAATGCATTGGTATCTACAAAGCCCTGAGAATGGGAGTTGGGTGTGGGGCTCATGCCTGTAATCCTAGCTACTTGGGAGGCTGAAGGAGGCAGGAGGATTGCTTGAGCTCAAGAGTTCAAGACTAGCCTGGGCAACATGGTAGGAACCCCATCTCTTAAAAAAAAAAATTTAGGCCAGGTGCTGTGGCTCATGCCTGTAATCCCAGCACTTTGGGAGGCCAAGGCGGGCAGATCATGAGGTCAGGAGTTCAAGACCAGCCTGACCAACATGATGAAATTCCATCTCTACTAAAAAAAAAAATATCAAAATTAGCTGGGCATGGTGGCATGTGCCTGTGTTCCCAGCTATTCAGGAGGCTGAGGCAGGAGAATCACTTGAACCTGAGGGGCGGAGGTTGCAGTGAGCCAAGATTACGCTACTGCGCTTCAGCCTGGGCGACAGAGTGAAACTCCGTCTCAAAAAAATTTTTTTTGTTAAAAACCAGCCAGGAGCAGTGGCTCATGCCTGGAATCCCAGCACTTCGGGAGGCTGAGACAGGAGAATTGTTTGAGCCCAGGAGTTCAAAACCAGCCTGGGCAACATAGTGAGACATTGTCTCTAAAATAAAGAAAAAGAACAAAAAGAAAAAGCACTGAGAAAGGTTCCTGGCACATGACAAGTGCACAGCAATCTTAAACCGTAATTGTACTTAGAAAGATCCTTTTGCCATAAATCTTCATAAATCTCATGGAGCTTACATTCTAGTGGAGTTTTCACTTTAAACCATTATTTTTTAAACTTATTTTTCAATTATTATTCCCCCATGGAAAAAAATTTAATTCTATAAGAATTTTTTTGAGACAGAGTTTCTCTGTTGTCTCACAGGGTTGAGTGCAATGGCACACAGTCTTGGCTCACTGCAACCTCCGCCACCTGAGTTTAAGTGATTCTCCTGCCTCAGCCTCCCCAGTAGCTAGGATTACAGGCGTGCATCACCACGCCCAGCTAATTTTTGTATTTTTAGTAGAGATGGGATTTTACCATGTTGACAAGGCTGGTCTCGAACTTTGACCTCAGGTGATCCACCCACCTCGGCCTCCCAAAGTGCTAGGATTACAGGAGTGTGCCACGGTGCCAGGCCAAGAAAAATTAAATACAGAGCTTCCCAAAGTGCTGGGATTAGAGCTGTGAGCCACTGTGCCTGGCCTTAAATACCCTTTTCTTAGGGGAGAGAAAAGTGATGAATGTAGGCAATTTTAGAGGAAGAGTAAATGATTTTTAGGGAAGATGAATGGGCCCAAAGAACAGAGGGTAGGAACAAAGTTCCTCTGGACTCTGGATGTGTTATCAGCTGTAGTCTTATTCCTGGGTTTTGCTTCAATTTCCCTGACATTGATGAGATATCTGGGGGAGATTCACAACAACAGAAGGTCTTCTGGAGGATCTGGCCTTTAGCTAGATAGGGGAGCTTCAGAGAAGGCCCTTCCCTGCCTATGCTCCTCCACAGGTGCTCTCAATTTGAAGTCCAAAGCAGCCTATTTGAGGGTATTGTTTTCTGAGTCCTAACAACCTCAAAATATGCCTTCCTCCTTAAGCAAAAACCACTCATTCTTTCCTTCTCTAGGAGAGACGACTGGTAGTACATACTCCTGCAAATGTATCCTTTGGTAGAGGTGACTCTTAGTATATGAGCTCGTGTCCCAGTTCACCTAAAACAAATCTTGGTTCATTCCTGTTGTTCAGCAGCCTGTCTGAAGGATCTTGGACTTACTCTTTTGTTTTAAATGAAGGATAATTTAAGAATTACATTACAGTTAGAGAGGACATGGGGATGAATACACCAACCCATTAATGAAATTGAGATACTGAACAGTAAATGGCTTGTATGGGTCCTACAGACCCAAAAGGGAAGGAGATACCTGAAGCGACCCGGGAAAAATCCAAGTAATAACAGAAATAATACACTTGATTGAAAAAAGATACTATGAACTCTTGCTGAGATGTTTAATTTTCTCTTCAATTCCTCTCTCCCACCCCTCCAATTTAGAATATTTCTTCGGAAACAAGACTCCAGAACTAAGGTAAGCTTGAAAGTATTTCTATCAATACCTCCTGAGGTTCCCACCCTGGTAAAATAAAAATAGAGTTCTGTCTCTCTCCTAAACTCTCCATTGTATACGTTGGATCCTGACAGTCTACTTTAATGAGCACTTCTATTATTTACACCTTCCAGTGGTATTTGTAGCTTTATGTATCTCCCTGGAGTTGTGGCAGAGCCGGTGCAGAGGGAGCACTTCAGTCCTAACCAAGCCCCATAAGGCAAGATAACTGAACTGCAAGATTTGTTTGATGGAACTAAACATTGAATGAGTTGCTTTAATGTGCTCTTTTATTTCACTCAATGCTTTGTCTTACTGTTTATTGACTATTATATTCCAAGGAGATGAATAAACAGACAGAAAACATGTAAGCAAATAAACACAGTTCTTTTACATACTTACAGACAAACACTCTGGGGACTATAGAACAAGATATGGGTCTGTTTGAGTGGATGCCAAGAAAGTAGGAAACTTGGAGGAAGATAATTCCTGGCTGGAGGGGCAGGGAGTGCAAAGGCACTGAGGTAGGGCAGGTGCCTCCAGTTTTCCACGGCTCCCATCATTCCCTGCTGCCCCCTATCCAGCTTGCTCCACTGGTCTATATTAGCTGTCTAGCCTTGAAGACACCTGAAATTTGCCTTTAAAGACCTTTCAGTCTTCTCTGCTTCCCAGTTACATTTTTTATTTCTTTGTTTGTTCGTTTTTTGAGATGGAGTTTCACTCTTGTCACCCAGGCTAGAGTGCAATTGTGCAATCTCCCAGCTCACTGTGACTTCTGCCTCCTGGGTTCAAGCAATTCTCCAGCCTCAGCCTCCCAAGTAGCTGGGATTATAGGCACCTGCCATCACACCTGGCTAATTTTTGTATTTTTAGTAGAGATGGAGTTTTGCCATGTTGGTCAGGCTGGTCTTGAACTCCTGACCTCAGGTAATCTGCCCATCTCGGCCTCCATAAGTGCTGGGATTATAGGCATGAGCCCATTCGCCCGGCCTCAGTTTCAATTTAAATCCCCTTTACTGCACCGATGTCCCAAGGCCATCTACTCCATTGCCTGTAATGGTAGGAGACAACTACCTAGTTCTAAAGCCAACCGGCCTGCTTCGTTTAGTTCAGGTTGAGTTTTAAGCAAGCACTTTCTCTGATTCAGAATCTATGCCTCTTACTTAGGCTACCATCTGTTAAGCCTAGTTCTCCTTCATTGGATGCTTGTAGTTAATTAACTGAGCCAATCCAGAGAACCTGTCTGAACAGTGCCCAGCACATTGTAAGTACTCAATACACATTGACTTTTTTTTTTTTTGAGATGGAGTTTCGCTCTTGTTACCCAGGCTGGAGTGCAATGGCGCAATCTCGGCTCACCGCAACCTCCGCCCCCTGGGTTCAGGCAATTCTCCTGCCTCAGCCTCCCGAGTAGCTGGGATTACAGGCACGTGCCACCGTGCCCAGCTAATTTTTTGTAATTTTTAGTAGAGACGGGGTTTCACCATGTTGACCAGGATGGTCTCAATCTGTTGACCTCGTGATCCACCCGCCTCGGCCTCCCAAAGTGCTGGGATTACAGGCTTGAGCCGCGCCCGGCCTACACATTGACTTTTATTATTGCAATCAAACCCTTTACAGCAATCAACTGTGAGAGAGGCACTATTCTCATTTTACAGATTGGAAAACAGTTTCAGAAATGTTGAGTGACATCTAAGGTCATATTCCATAGCATATAAAGGACTCAATCTCAGGAATCCATGCGCACAAATATTTCTGGAATGAAAGAGAAATGTGTAAAGTATATTAAAAACAAAAAACCACACTAACGAATGATGGGAACTTCCTCATGACTCTATCTTTTTGGCAGTTATGTCACACTGAGTCATTTGAGCTCACTGACACTTAAACTAAGTGTCTTCACACATGTATGACTGACCTGTTCAGGGACCATAAAGGTGTTTTGTTTCTCACAGTTCTTTAAATGTGTGGACATGTTTTTCATCTGCAGCTGAATGAAGACAAGTTCCATACTCTGGGGGCAGCCTTTGATAACAAATAGTCGCTATGTACAAATATCTTAAATAAAAATATCCAGTTACATCAAAATGCTACACGAGTTAAAATTCAGTCCACTTTCTCCCCTCACTTGTATTTCCACTCTTTCTACTGATTTCTTTTTTTGAAACCGAATCTCACTCTGGCCTAGGCTGGAGTGCAGTGGTGTGATCTCAGCTCACTGCAACCTCCACCTCCCAGGTTCAATGGAGTAGCCAGGATTATAGGCACAAGCCACCACACCTGGCTAATTTTAAAAAAAATTGTAGAAACGGGGCCTCACTATGTTGCTCATGCTGGTCTCAAACTCCTGGCCTCAAGTGATCCTCCTGCCATGGCCTCCCAAAGTGCTGGGATTAGAGGCATGAGCCACTGCATCCAGCACAGGAAGACTTGTAACACCACGATCCAGTGTACACTTGGGAAACAGTATTATTTAAGTACATTCAGTGCTTTTCTATTCTGTGTTTATCTTGAATACAGGATGTAGATCGCTAAGTAGATTTAACAACCCTCTTGAAAGGATCACAAGCCACAGTTGGAAAAACACCAGTCATCCAGTTCTTAGCCACATTTGAAAATGCGCATCTTGATTTAGCAACTTAGTTTGAAGTCAGAGCTCTGTATTTTCAGCTTTTCTGTTTTTGTATTCTATTATGTGAGTTTCTGAGAGACCAGTCTGAGTTTTTGAATACTTCTTAGATTGCCTATCTACATGCTTATTAAGCAGACTTTTCTTCAACTTAGTTAATACTGAGAGCCATACTTTTCACCACTCTGGAATGCACTATTCATTTTGTACTTTGTCTGAACGTGGTTCCTAGAGTCTCAAACACCTGATATTGCTTGATCATAAACAAGAGTGCTGCTCATATGTGAGGAGTGGTCTGCTTTTCCCCTTACCCCTGTTATTCTTCAACAACTCTTTCTGCAGTATTTCGTTTAGCAGCCTTCAAATTCAAGCTTTGCAAAATGCAGCTAAAAAGGAAGTCCAAGCAGAAGACAATATCTACATTGAGAATAATCTTTATGGCACGAACTAAGACCCAGTGGTGCTCTTCAGGAGTTTGCATCCATGATTGCAGAAGACAACAGATATCAGTGTATCAGACATCTTTTAGACTCCAAGATGGTAATAACATATCAGACATCTTTTAGACTCCAAGACAATGTTTCTGTATCAATTTTATCTGGCATTCCAACATGTCAGGACTGGGTAGACTGACTCTCTAGCTCCAAACTGTGTATAGCCGACCTCATCATTAATGTAGTCCTAATATTTATGCTAAAACTGGCTCAATCCTTCTGATCATTGTGGAGTTCTCTCTCAAACATGAACACCTTAGAATTGTATGTTCTCCTTAGACCCCATAAATCTTGTATCCATCAAAGAGATTAGTTACTGGAAACAAAGCGAATGGACCTCTCTCGGCCATCAGAGCCGTCCAGAAGAGGGAAATCTATCTTACAGATCAGCAAATTCAATGTGAGACTTCATTTGGAAGCATTGTATGATTGTCTCTTGTTTCTGTATTACAGTTTCAAAAATTGCATTGCCTATGTTTTCCAAAGGTTTCAGATTATGGGGTACGTGGGTTTTTATCTCCTCTATGGGGAAAGAAAGTGAGTCTAATTCACTATAACAGGTATAGGTCTTTTCTCATGACTCTGGAAATGTGATGCATTAAGTACTGGATCGCTGAACTGGGGTATCTATTTTACCAGTTAAAAGAGGCTATAATAGTATGAAAATAATTTGCCAGGTGATTCAACACATTTATCCTTTTTTTTTTTTAAGATGGAGTTTCACAGTTTCACTCTTGTTGCCCAGGCTGGAGTGCAATGGCACCATCTTGGCTCATGCAACTTCCACCTCCTGGGTTTCAAGCAATTCTTCTGCCTTAGCCTCACAATTACCTGGGATTACAGGTACCCACCACCACACCTGGCTAATTTAAAAAAAATTTTTTTTTTTAGTTGCACTGGGGTTTCACCATGTTAGCCAGGCTGATCTTGAACTCTTGACCTCAGGTGATCCACTGGCCTCGGCCTCCCAAAATGCTGGGATTGCAGGCATGAGCCACCATGCCCTGCCCATTTATGCAATTTTTTACTACGTCTGTGTCATGGTGCTAAGCATTTAAACAACTATCAGGCTTTCTGAACAAATTTTTAGAACCAAGAAGGTCAGCAATAAAAGCAAAAAAAGGTTGGGGTAGGCAAAAGGCTGCCTTTTCTGCCTTAGAAGTTATATTACAGGTATAATAATGTTTGAAACTCATTAGTTTTGACCCAAATTCTAAATTGTCTCCAAGCCACTTTTACATTTAAAATTGTTCTGGAGGCTAGCGCCATGGCTCATGCCTGCAATCCCAGCGCTTTGGGAAGCCAAGATGGGCAGATAGCTTGAGCCCAGAAGTTTGAGACCAGCCTGGGCAACATGGCAAGAGCCCATCTGTATTAAGAAAAAAAATTAGAACTAAAATGAAAGATAAAATTGTTTTGGAAAGACAAAGCATTTTCTCATATATAATCAATTCCTGTATTTAAAAAAAATAATTCAGTTAAGCTTATTGTAAGGCTATCTTCAGTCACCAGTATAACTGTTCAGATGTATAGGTTTGCCAGGGCTAGATTTATCAGAAAAGAAACACTTTGACATGAACAGTTAGGGCTGGGTATTAATTTCAATTTCAGTTTGAGTAAACTCTGAAATAATTCATGCTTGGGGTCCAGAGCTACTCATATCATAGTAGTCTAGGACAACAGGATGCTTGCTTTCAAAGGAAAAATATTTTTTTCTTTTTCTTTTGAGACAGAGATTTTCTCTTGTCACCCAGGCTGGAGTGCAATGGCACAATCTTGGCTCACTGCAACCTCCACCTCCTGGGTTCAAGTGATTCTCCTGCCTGAGCCTCCTGAGTAGCTGGGATTACAGATGCCTGCCACCATGTCCCAGCTAATTTTTATGTTTTTAGTAGAGACAGGGTTTCATCATATTGGCCAGGCTGATCTTGAACTCCTGACTTCAGGTGAGCCATCTGCCTTGGCCTCCCAAAAGTGCTGGGATTACAGGCGTGAGCCACTGTGCCTGGCCAGGGGCAACATTTTTAACACTTTTCAGAGTTCTAGGTCCTTTGAAGGAAAATTCTGTGGGCAGGTAAGATTGTGAAACGTGGTATTTCAGTTTTCCCAAATGTGGCTGGCCTAATCTGGTAAAACATTTTTTTAAAGAAACTATAGTGTCTTTTTTTCTTAAATTTGAGGCAACATGCACAAAACTGGAGATTTGAAATTAAAGCCAAGATTTGTAGCTTCTCCGGAAAGACCTGGCAAGATTGGACTGCGTTGCTATTTGACCAGGACGCCACTAGATGGGGTTGCATCCTTGAATCATCAAGTCGTTAGTTGCCTTCATGCTCACTTTTGTTACCTGCCTGGCACCTGTGGGGCTTTTAAATTTATCGTACCTGCTCTATTCTCTGGATCCTTCCCGGGCATGTATGATGCATGATGAAGACTATAGGAATCTGGTTAGCTTTGCTTAATGCAACATTTCCAAAACTTGTTTGAATGTATGAGTATAGTGACTAGTAGCATTCTGTGAAGTACAATGCATAGGGGCTTAGGAGTTTAGGGTAATATCCAGAATTAGGCACAGGACTTGAGCCTAACCCTAACTCTTAGCAGTTACACTGGATGACATTAGAGCAAATGGTTCTTTACTACATCTACAGTTTCTTCATCTGTTCGAGGTAATCATTTCCATATCAGCTATGGTGTACAGTGGTAATTCCAATGAAATGTTACATGTGAGAAGTCTTTGAAGTGTAGAAAACACTACAGATACTGAAGCAGTTTGGAGAGTTAAAAAACACTACACAAACGTAGCTTAGCAAATATATATTTTTTCTTTTGAGACAGAGTCTATCTCTGTCGTCCAGGCTGGAGGGTAGTGTCACAATCTTGGCTCACTGCAACCTCCGCCTCCTCGCTCAAGTGATTCTCCTGCCTCAGCCTCTAGAGTAGCTGGGATAGCTACCACTCTCACTTAATATTTGCATTTTTAGTAGAGACAGGGTTCCATCATATTGTCCAGGATGATCTTGAATTCCTGACCTCAAGTGATCTGCCTGCCTCGGCCTCCTAAAGTATTGGAATTACAGGTGTGAGCCACCGTGCCTGACCAGGACTTAGTCAATATTTTCTTTCTTTCTTTTTTTTTTTTCCAGACAGAGTCTTGCTCTGTTGCCCAGGCTGGAGTGCAGTGGTGAGATCTAGGCTCACCGCAACCTCCGCCTCCCAGGTTTCAAGCGATTTTCCTGCCTCAGCCTCACAAGTAGCTGGGATTGTGTAGTAGACGTGTACCACCACACCCAGATAATTTTTTTGTAGTTTTAGTAGAGATGGGGTTTCACCATGTTGGCCAGGCTGGTGTCGAACTCCTGACCTTGTGATCCACCTGCCTCGGCCTCCCAAAGTGCTGGGATTACAGGCATGAGCCACCACGCCCAGCCAATGGTGTTACATTTATAAGTCTCTTGCTGTATGCTATCTTTTAAAGTAACATTTCTTTTTTGAAACAGTGATACTGGGTAATTTGGCTATCATCATATACTGCAGAAAAAAAATTGCCAGCTGAGAGGGAGAATAGGTAAGAAGAAACAAAGGGGAGGAATTTAGTGAATATGAATTATTTTCCTTTAAGTATATTCATCTTGTAGATCATATTGAGTTTTGTTTTTTTTTCTTTAAGATCGTGTTGAGATTCCATTACCTACAATCAGTCTTGGGATGCTGGAACACTGGTGTAATTAAGACTGTATGCTTAAATTGAGAAATTTTGCACATCTTTATCAAGTAGCAGAGCTAATCATTCACTGATGGCTTTAAAGGTGAAATAATTCTGTGAATACATGAAACTGTGAGGGACTCGGTGGTCATCTAAGTTTCTTTGTATGCATATTCATTAGTAAAAGTTTTGTTTGTTTCTTGAAAACAAAACAACTATGGAACAAGTTTGAAACCGACTCAGCATTTGACTTAGTTTGGGTCAGGCATCTTCAACTTGCTGGGAGCTCCAGTCAAAGTGGGTCACATTTGTGGCAAGTCATGTAAATGTCAGGTGCTCTTCAGGAAACACTCTGAATTTCAGGTTCTAAGGAGCTTAGTAGGGAAGAAATACAAAACCCATCATTTCTGGTACTGATTATTACTAAGAAAAAGAATCTTGTGATACAGACTGGCTTCTCAACTGTGGCATTTGGGGACAGAAATCTCTGTTGTAGGGGCTGTCCTGTGCATTGGAAGGTATTTAGCGTCATCCCTGGCCTCCACCCACCAGATGCCTGTCACATCCTCCAGCAGTGATGACTGACAGTGTCCCCTTTGTAATGTCACCCCTGGTTGAGAACCACTGTGGTAGAGGGTGCTTCGGGGGTGGGTAGGAAGTGGTGTAGCTTTAGCTGGTTGGTGAGTGGCTGTTTCTAGGAAAGAGGTGACATTTAAGTTGAAACCAAGAGAAATATGTAGGTAGCAGCCACATGAAAATCTGGTGGAAGGAAACCAAATGCAAAGGCTGTGGGGCAGCAGGAAGCTTGTGTATTAAAAGAGAGGCAGTTGTGTTCCAAGGATTAAAAAACTAGTGCGTGAGGAGGGATGAAGAGAAGCGAGGCTGAAGAGTTGGGCAAGGTGTCTGGCCAGCTGCTGGATGAAAAGGAATCTATGGGCCAGGCATAGTGGCTCACACCTGTAATCCAGTACTTTAGGAGGAAGACCGGGGATCGCTTAAGCCCAGGATTTCGAGACCAGCCTGGGCAAAAAAGTGAGTCTCCATCTCTATTAAAAATTAAAAAAGAAAAAAAACGGGGGTCTGAACATGTCTGTTTGAAAAAGAGTGCCAGTCTTAGAAAACCACTTTTGCATATTAAAAGCTAAACCTGCTACTCATCACCAAATTATATGTTAACATTCATGAACATGTTTCAGTGACACTATTCTAAGTCAGGTATAGCTCAAGAGTCAGCTTTGTAGGGATGATAGAAGGATATAGGCAGAGGAAGGAGGTGGGAGAAGGGAATCTCTCGGCAGCAAGGGGCTTTCCTCATGGCTGTGAGACACCCCCAGGCCTACCAAGAGGGGTTAGGGAAGAGGCACCAACGTTTAGCTCTAATTGATTTGCATCCAAACTTGCTGCTTTGGGAGGCAGTAGTGGGGTGGTACAGGAGTTGACTATTCAGTCCACAAATGAATTTTTAAAATAGTATTTTGAGGTGTATTTTAAAAAATGTATCAGACTTGTGATTTAATGGATATTGATGAGTAAAATGTTAAAGTTAATTAACATAAATAATTCGAGTGAATAATAGCAAAAAAGCAATGTGAATATGGCAATGTTATATAGATGCCTGAAGTCGGAGAGTCAATAGATGAAATCAGTTGGGAGCTTGTTAAAAGACACACTTCTGGGCCCTATTTCTAGACATTCTACTTTAGCAAGTCAGATGGGATCCGAGAACTTTTTTTTTTTTTTTTTTTGGAGACGGAGTTTCGCTCTTGTTACCCAGGCTGGAGTGCAATGGCGCAATCTCGGCTCACCGCAACCTCCGCCTCCTGGGTTCAGGCAATTCTCCTGCCTCAGCCTCTCGAGTAGCTGGGATTACAGGCATGCGCCACCGTGCCCAGCTAATTTTTTGTATTTTTGGTAGAGACGGGGTTTCACCATGTTGACCGGGATGGTCTCGATTTCTTGACCTAGTGATCCACCCGCCTCGGCCTCCCAAAGTGCTGGGATTACAGGCTTGAGCCACCGCGCCCGGCCCCGAGAACTTTTGTTTAAATGACAGAAGACAACTACGATAAAATATTTTACATTTCAATAAAAGTACTCAGACTTCAAGAAAGAACATGTGGAAATAAGAGCATACCGTCCTTCACTTTGACTTATTTAAGATGTTAATCTCAGGAAATGAACGCAAAATCTTTCTTCCAGGAAACTTTGGGTATTGCACTGCCACTTTTATTTATTTATTTATTTATTTTTTGAGCTGGAGTTTTGCTCTTCTTGCCCAGGCTGGAGTGCAATGGCGTAATGTTGACTCACCACAACCTCTGTCTCCTGGGTTCAAGCCATTCTCCTGTCTCAGCCTCCCAAGTAGCTGGGATTATAGGCGCCCACCACCATGCTTGGCTAATTTTTGTATTTTTAGTAGAGATGGGATTTCACCATGTTGGCCAGGCTAGTCTTGAACTCTTGACCTCAGGTGACCCACCTGCCTTGCCCTCCCAAAGTGCTGGTTACAGGCGAGTGCCACTGCACCTGGCCTTGAACTGGCCTGTATTTCTGAGGCTAAATAAAACTACTTGGAGTCTGGCTGGGTGCAGTGGCACCCGGCCAGGCTTGGTGGCTCATGCCTGTAATCCCAGCACTTTGGGAGGCCAAGAGGGGCAGATCCCCTGAGGTCGGGAGTTCGAGACCAGTCTGACCAACATGGAGAAACCCTGTCTCTACAAAAATCACAAAAATTAGCCGGGCAAGATGGTGCATTCCTGTAATCCCAGCTACTCAAGAGGCTGAGGCAGGAGAATTGCTTGAACCTGGGGGCAGAGTTTGCAGTTAGCTGAGATCACGCCCTTGCACTCCAGCCTAGGCAACAAGAGCGAAACTCCATCTCAAGAAAAAAAATTTACTTGGAGTCTCCACAATATAGAAAGACTGAAAAAATGTAGGGTAAGCTTATTGACGCTTCGGTTTTCATGGTCTAGTTTGTAGAGAAATGTTTCTTACAGGTTTTTAGTGCTGTCTAGAAGGAAAGGAATGACAATTAGTCATTTGATCTCTCTCTGATTAAGGTTTTCCTTTTTTCCTTTGTCATTGATTTCCTTTGTTTCTTTTTCTTTGAGACAGGGTCTTGCTTTGTCACCCAGGCTGGAGTGCAGTGGTGCGATCACAGCTCACTGCAGCCTTGAACTCCTGGGCTCAAGCGATCTTCCCGCCTCAGCCTCCTGAGTAGCTAGGACCACAGGTCTGCGCCACCTTGCCCAGCTAATTTTTGTGATTTTTGTAGAGACATAGTTTCACCATGTTGCCCAGGCTGGTCTCAAACTCCTGGGCTCAAGCAATCTGCCCACCTCAGCCTCCCAAAGTGCTGAGATTGCAGGCATGAGCCACCGCACCTGGTCCTTTTCCTTAATTGTAAACAGTTTTGGAGGATCTCAGGAGTCATATCCTCTTAAAGCCACCATGCCTGACTAATTATTTTATTTTATTTTAAGCAGAGAGGAAGTCTCGACATGTTGTCAGGCTGGAGTGCAGTGGTGTGATCATGGCTAACCCTAACCTCAGCCTCAAACTCTTGAGCTCAAGCTGTCCTCCTACCTCAGCCTCCTGGGTAGCTGGGACTATAGGCATGTGCCACCATGAGTGGCTATTTTTGTATTTTTTTGTAGAGATGGAGTCTCCCTGTGTTCTCTCAAAACTTTATTTCTACTTTGACTATTGATCACATTAGATTTTCTGAGGATGTATACCCAAAGCCTATTACTCTACCCACTGCAAAAGTAACGATAGCCAACCAGAAGACAAGAGGGTACCCTTGGTGGCCTCGATGCAGAATGTGAGCACCGTGCACAGGGGCTGAGGGAGAATCAGTCTGTAACTCAGAACTCCTGGGACTCTACTTGTCATATTCCCTTGGGGATTCTCATGGGCACTAAGGATCTTTCCAACTCTTACTTGGAGCCTCAGGTGGCTACTTGTCCCTTACCCCAGTCACTCCTGAGTCCTTCTTCTGTAGGGCCACCAGCATAAGCTCAGAACCAAGATCTTAGCTTTTCACAAAAATGGAAATCCTGCAACTACTCCTATTTGGTAAAATTCTGAACTCCA